CAGCTACACACACAAATAAGCCAGTAAAATGGATGTACACACAAAACTCAGGCCCTGGCAATAAGCAAAAATCCAGATTGATGAACAATCAGGACTTTCCACTGGAGCTTACACTCAGTGAACGTAGAAGAGGAAGAGGAAAAGGAGGAGGAGGAAGAAGGAGAAGGAGAAGAACACAAAATGCAGCTGGAGAACTCAGTGACTGGAAAGGCACACAGACAACAATTGTTTTATCCAATGTCTTTACCAATTAACAAAACAACAGTAATACTTCACTTCAGAAACAAAATAAGACGATCAATTATTATCTATCTTTCTTTCTACCAGCCAGGCCAAATGGCAGATAGGCAGGCTATTCTGTTTAAAGTTGTGGCAAGTTATGTGCTTCTTGCTAAGGTTAGCCATTGCATTTTCCCCCATATGTGAGTCAATGTATATAATTCCATCGCCCAGCCACTGAGTGAATGGCACACTGTGAGCTGCTAATTTCATTTGGAATGTTTTCCGACTGTACCCATCATGGTTTCTGTTGTGAACTGCTGATTCAGAAAATGGTGAGTGGCCTGCTGCAACAGAAATTACGGTTCTTATACCTATGATAAACTGCAGTTCTAGAGCTGGATTGTTTGTGCTAGCAATTCTTATTGCTGCCTTATGCATCTGATGAATGTGTATGCTACTGGCTTTGCCTTGACTGCAGTCTGTGCCAATTTTTTCACAAGGAACAGTGACAGACATTCTTTGTGGTTTTTGTTGGCATAGGAATGGAGCAACTATGGGGTGACTTGTTTGCTGAGAAGTTGGAGCTGCAATAACCTGATTTCTCCCAGCTAGTGTTGCTATTATTGCTAAAGAAAGATTCTCAGAACACCACAGACAAAGAACAGAAGAAATACTGACATTTTAAAAAATCTGAACATCAAGGAAGATTGGCTAATAAACAGCATCGTGTCTCGGAAGCTGAAATATTTTGGTCATATCAAGCGCCACGACGGATTAGAAAAAAATAATAGCAGAAGGCATGGTACCAGGAAGGAGGGGCAGGGGCCGACCGACACGAAGATGGGCACAGAATATAAGTGACTCCTTGAGTGTGAAAGTACATGAGGTGGGAGAGCTGGCGAGAGACCGAGTTTCTTTCAGGCAGACCGTGATGAGAGCGACGTTCTGCAAAGGACCTGCTACATGATGATGATGAGTGTTGCTGTTTGGCATCACACTGTCATACTTCAGGAAGCCACAATAGCATAGTCACTAGATGCTCGCTTGATGGTCAGCAAGTCTAGGATTCAATTCTACACTGAGGGAGATTTGTTCTTGGTTCCCAGGTTTAACCTAGCCTAAAATGAGTATCAGGCAATGCCCTGGCAAGTTAAGTCAGTCAGTGAGATGTTGACCATATAAGTGCTGATTGGTCTACAAATGCATAGGTCTAACCCTATTTGCCTAATGCACCAAAGGTGTGACTAGGGTCCTTTATTTAACTTGGTACATTTAAAAAAAAAAGCATTTTTGTTTTGCACCAAACTGCACAGTTGTTTTCGATTCACTGACTCGCTGTCCATATTAGCTCGACAGCAGCCATCAATTATTTATGTGCCCTACAGCAGAATCTACAGGAAAAAAAAAAAAAAAAGGCACACCAGAGAAGTAAACCACAGCAAAGTTAAAAAGATGGGGAGGATATGGGGGTTGAGCTGCATGTTCAAGCAAAGGATAGTACAATTTGATGTGAGCTGGTTGTGGGCCTATGATCCATTGGGAGATAAAGAGCAGAAGAGGAAAAAGAAGACTTACCTGGTTCAAATGGTTTGAACAACTCATGACGTAACTTGGGCAGGAATGTATCGATCTTGTCCCATGTGAGTTTCCATAACTGGGAATCTGTACCATCGGCTGTCTGGAATATTCCTGCTGTGTCCATTACCAACAGCATGTTCTTCAAGCTTTCTGGGATAGCCTCGGACTAGAAGACAAACAACAGGCACATTTAATTAATGGTTTGTGTATGTGGTGTTTCTTAACAGTATTAGGCCAACAATGTTATTTTATAGCTGACTTTTTTTTTTCCTTTTTTTTTTCTGTACCACAGAGCAATTGCCACATTGTGCTGTAGTTTATAGCTAGGTTGTGATATCTGCTTTTTTTTTTTTTTTGCCCAACACATCTAATTTCATCATCATCATGTGCTCTGCCAACTGGCATAGGCGCTCATGTATCTCCACATATCCTGGTTGCCTGGAACAGCTCTCTTGATGATATCCCTAAATGCCATCGTTTCAGCCCATCTAGCATCATCTCTCTTGGTCTACCTCTACCACTTATTCCACTGATCTTTCCAGTTGTCACGATGTTCTTCAATGTCTCTCTCTTCTCATTATGTGGCCAGTGATTGTCTTTTTCTTGTTGTATACAGAGATCTACTTTCATTATCTAATTTCAGCAAACCCTTAATTAGTAGCCTTTTACAACATGCTCGTTAGTGGGCTGTGGGTTAATTGTTTTCAATCTTAAATGCGATCACAGAACCCACACAGGGTTTGCAGCAGATGTAGATAGGAATCTGAGTTTTTCTTTAGTTCTTTTATTAAGTACCCAAAAAAAAAAATTACAAATGGCACTGTGAAGAGTTACAAGGGGATGTGGCCGGCGCTCAACACTTAGGGCAAAGGCGAGACGGATATACAATCAGACAGTTACTGGTGCCATTGGAATTTTAACTCTTCGCTTGCTGCTGAAGATTGGGACGGAGCGCTTATGGGGGTGTCCCGAGTGCCGTGATGTTGATTCTTAATTCAACACTTAACAACATTCTCTCTTCTGAGACTCCACCTTGACGTGTAACATCCAGTGACTCAAGGAGTCACTATTCAGATGTTCAATCAACAGGATCAGATCCAAGGTTCCCTGTTAAGCTGATAAAAACAGTTGTACTGAGGCACCCTAGGCTAGAGAAAGCAATAGATGGGTGAGTTAAAGTCGACAGAATCGACTCCATTACACCAGGGATTATGCTAAACGGCCCAGCCCTCTGTGCAGTATGGCTCATTGCCTGCTGAGAATGTTGCACAGAGCATGAGCTCTGTAGCCCCAGCAATGATTTTGCTCAATAAAACTATGAGTATCAGTATGAAAGTTTGAACAGAAGTCAGCGTTCATCCACTAAAGTGTTGTACTGATTAGTGAGGATTATCATCAAAGCACTCCAGACAGATTTACTGCTGCACCCATCTCATCCTCAAAAGCTCCACAAGCATACAATGACTGATGACGTCTATCCTGTGTTTATTAATCTTCTTCTTCTTTCTTCTTCACGTTCACAAGCTGTAAACTCTGGCGAAAAGTTTTGGTTGTTCATCCACTTTTGGACTGCAGTCCTTTTCCAGAACTTGAGTGTTGCGTTTGCATCTGTTTGACAGATCCGAGTAATTTGTACGCAGACTGTTGGTTCCTTGCCTCTCAGGCAGATCCACTTCGACTTTGAAGGAAGCTCCCAATTAGTTGACTCTTACGACATGCTTCTGGGTAGGCTGTGGGTCTATTCTTGTTTTCCCTATAACAGGGCCCTGGAACCCACCTTGCGATGTTTATTCATGAAACTGCCCAAAGAAATTATTTGTTCAAATACATACCAGCAAATCACTTCGGTCAGCATTCATGTATTTCTCCATGAAGTCCAGAATTGTCAGCCAGAGAGCTGTGAAAGTTGACAGTGACAAAAGCGGACTGAGGTGTTGGAGAAAGACCTGCAAGAGAGCATTTTTAACAAAATCATTACATGGTTTTTATTAATTTGTGTATACTTAATCGGTGGAAGGGGCTGCGTGGTCTTGAGGCATGGTGTCCGCCTCAAGTGCTAGAGGTTCAAGCCCCGGTGAGGGCTGGAATTTTGCCACGTGGACGTCTAGTAATTTTCCCCCTAGTCTCTGGGTAGTAAGACCGAATGCCCATGTGTATTGCCATGCACGTAAAAAATCCCTTGGCAGCTAGAAATCGAAAAGAGTTGCCTAACAGTGCTGCCCTGGCAAAATTTGGAGTAAAATTCTACCCAAAATATATCAGGATCCTCACCGGTGTAACAGAGTTCAAGCATTGCGTGGAGATTCTTCAGACTCAGGCTTGAGTTTGAAGAAGAACGGAGCACTTATGGGTTATACCAGTGTGCCAGGATGTTGATCCGTTGAATAAACATAATCGGTGAATAGGTATGATCTTTTACTCTAGAGACAAATATACAACGGTGGTTTCTTCTTGACTACTGCCACTAAAAATTTTTGGTCAGCCCCCTTTTCCGCCACCACCATTTCAATGAGGTAAATGATGAAAGAGGAGAAGACCCAGTCTCAGGCCGGGTCTACCCAGGAGTCTTGCAGGTAGGAGAACTTCACCCCTCTACTGGGGATTGAACCTGCACCAGTACTGACAGGCAAACATACTAATTACTATACCACTGCAGCTCCTAATCATCTTTTTCTTGATCAAAACAACAAACACTTTTTTAACTGATCAAAACTGTGTCTGTAAGTGTAAGGGGTACCAGATACAGTCCTGGGAAATAAAGGTGGTCGGCATGATGCTGACCCCATCACCAACCAAGTGCTGACTAGTCTTGAAAATATAGGTCTAGCCCTATATGCCCAATAAAGGTGTAGAAAAGGGTCCTTTGCTTATTAACTTAATGTCTACTATTACAGCTAACTTTTAGATTCTATACAACTAGTTGCAATTTACATTTCAGTCTCTATCTAACTGTATAAGAAACTTGGCATTATCAGCAGCCTGTGATAGTTAATAAGTTAACAGATAAACACACAACAAAACATAAATAAAAATACATTACAAAATCAGAACTGTATTATCTGATCTTCTCAACCTCTTTCATTTTCACTCTCTCCTTCATCTCTTTTATTCCATTCTTTATCACACTGTTTCTGGTATTCCCCATCTCTCACAGACAGACATATCCATTCTGCCAAGGCAACGATAAACAATAAAAGCACCTTGCAGAGCAAAGTGGAAGCTCTCATTCTTGTCTCTTCCATTCCTGCTGGGTCGTTGGGATTGATGTTCTCAAGCAGCTTGGTCAACAGAGGAAACAGCATCTACAAAACAGAAAATAAAAACTTGCAATGAACAAGATGGTATGTAGCCTCTTTGTTAGACACACACAACAAAATATTCATATTTATCAATACATAAGTGTTACTGGAGGTCACGGAGGGCCACGGCATTTAGGACTCACCTTTCAGAAAGCCCAATGACCACTCCTTATTTTTATTCTTTTAGTGTAGTTGTATCAGTCTTTGTTTTTATCTGCTGATGAAGGCTTTCTAGCTGTAACATCTAGTCTATCTCTAATGTTTCTGTTCTTGTAGAGCTGGCCAATTATACTTTATTTTTGTTAATGGACTTACTGTACCTGTCAGTAAAATCCATTATTGACAGTGAACTCATGATTCCTGCTGTCATACATTTTGTATGTCTCTACTTCAATCAATTAATCAGGTGCCACCTCTATAACAAAGGCTCAGTGGGCCTCCAAGATGCTCTGTTTGGTTTTTTTCTTCACTCTAGATATACACTCTCTCAGACAACTATTTGTCCACCTCTTGGCATCACCCCCCCCCCCCCCCTTTTCCCCCTTCTCTCTCCGCACATATATAATTGTTATGCCTCTTGGTCACTTGCCTTAAACTTTTCCATTCAGTATGGTTTTAAAAAAGAGTGTTGATGAAAGAAAACAAAAAACGGTGGATGAAATATTTTGACCGTATTAAAAGACTTAACACTCTTATAAAAATATAAGAGTGTTAAGTCTTTTAATATGGTCGAAATATTTCACACACCGTTTTTGTTTTCTTTCATCAACACTCTTTTTTTAATTCCTAGTCTTCTCAGAACTCATGTCTTTGCATTTGTTTCGACCACAGAACCCACACAGGGATTACAGCTGATGTAGATAGGAATCTGATTTTTTTTTTTCTTTCTTTAGTTAGTTCTCTTCTGAGACTAGAGCCTTGACGTGTAACATCCAGTGACTTCAGGAGCCACTATTCAGATGTTCAATCAACAGGATCAGATCCAAGGTTCCCTGTTGAGCCGATAAAAACAGTTGTACTGAGGCACCCTAGGCTAGAGAAAGCCCAGGATGGGTGAGTTGAAGTCAACTTTTTTCATTCTAGGTCTTTTCAGAACTAATGTATTTGTGTTTGTTTCAATTAAATGCAACCTATTCTTTGTCTCTACTTGCTACAGCACTATTTATCTACAACAAGATCATCTTTATCTGTTCCAGTGTTCACAATCTATTAAAGGGCAAATGGATCGACATCACTGCACTGGGTTTTAACCCCTCATCATCAAGTGCCTTGCCGACTGGTGTGGTCGATCATGCCTTTCCAAAATCTGCAACTGCAGCTGGATTTATCAATTTGTGCGCTGACACCCATCCATGCCATGACAAAAGGCTGTCAAGAATCTTCTCACATTGTCTTCCTCTGTCTCTCTTTCCACAAATTTCTCCAGTGGTCACACATGCTCCATTTTCCCTCTTCTCATAACATAATCAAAAAATGATGACTGTCTTTTTATCCCATACAGTTGGATATCTCTTGAGAGTCACACAAAGCATGAAACTCCACGTCTCCAGAGATTTCTCCTAGGGATTTTCAAATCTCCTGCACTCAGGAACTGCAAGAAGGGGCAGACAAGTGAACTCACAATCTTCAGAGTACGAGTCAAATTGCAACCCCCCCCCCCCCCCCCCCCCCCCCTTTTCCACCTTTCCTTTGCGCTCTTATGTAAATGAATGCATCACTGACACAAACAGGAAAACTTTGCCCCAGGGACTACCTTGTTGAAGCAGGACTCCCACTCCACCGCAGTCAGAGTGCAAGTCACATTGCATCACCCTCCTCCCCCTTCCTTTGTGTTCTGATGTAAATGAATGCATCACTGACACAAACAGGAAAACTCTGCCAAAGGGACTACCTTGTTGAAGCAGGACTCCCACTCCATCGCTGTCAGAGTTTGCAGGTCATGGACCAGAAGAGCTCTTTGCAGGTAAGTTAATGCTTGGCTTCTCACCTGCCTCCTTGAATCACAGCACAGTCTTGCAATTCCTAAGATAAAGAACACAAAGTAGAACATAATTTATGTCGGACGTGAGAGTGAAATCCTAACCTGCACAGCCTGTGGCGACAGCACTAGCCCTATGGCCCTAAATCATCATTTACCAATCTCAAGTTGCAAATAGGGTTTTAAACACTCCAGATCTGTGTTTCATTGCATTTTCTTGCTTGTTTAGTTTCTATCCAGAACATATTATGAATTAATCAAGTAACAGAAAGTGTATTGATTGGCACTCATAGAAAGAAGTAGAAAGATAGAAGAATACACTAGACAACATAAAAATCGAAAGCTATAGTTACTGTGCCGGGAATTGAACCTGTCACCTCCAGACACCGTCTGCTCCTCGCTATGGATACAAGTGCACTAAGAACATGGTCAACTAGGCACCCGAAAAAAAAGGTGTCTTATTGGCCATGTTTATCGTTCAGCTTGAAATCCACAACTATGGAATATGGACAGAATTCATTTCAAACCATTGAAATTGCACCATAGGTTACAGAAATATATATTTACGAAGCATATGTCGAATAACAATCACAACAACAATTCACGAACACAGTAGACCTTATTGCTTTGTTTATTTATCAATCCAGAACATAGAACCATCCAGATGTTAACAATTAATAATTCTTTTTCCAATTTCTAATGACAAAGGCTTATTGTATAATATAAATTCTTTTACCAGCTTCTAACAACAGCTTTACATATCTAGGGAGTAAGATGACATCTACAGGGAATTCAGCGGCAGAAATATCATCTAGAATCGCACTGACATCTAGTACTTTTAACAAACTGTCAAACATCTGGAAGTCAAAGACGCTCAGCAAACACACACAACTTAAGATCTTCAACTCTTATGTGATTCCAGTGCTATTTTATGGACGTATGAGTTGGAAAGCAACAGTAACTCTAGACAAAAAATTAGACAGTTTTGAGAACAGATGTCTTAGAAGAATACTCAATCTGCACTGGACAGATTTCAGTACACAAATAAGACAAGAGACCAAGCAAGAAAATGTATCCAATTTTATAAGAAAGTGCCGCTGGAATTACATCGGCCATACACTTAGAATGGATAAGACCAGACTTCCCCATTAAGCCCTCACATGGACATCGGAAGGGAACAGAAAACGCGGAAGACCAAGAGAGACTCTGTATAGAACCATCATCAGGGAAGGCTCAGCTATGGGCCTCATGAATATCCAAGACCTAAATCAGGTGGCAACGAAATGCCAGACATGGAGAGCTATGACCTCTGCCTAATGCACCGCCTTAGGCTCAAGAGAAAAGACTAACTAACTAACTAAGCACAATATGCTCCGCAAGGGGGTTCCTTGGTTCTATTTTTTGGGGAAACAAACGAATACACCCTCTTAACAAGCATGCTGTCAACTAATTAGGGAATTACTAAAATCAGATATGTTGGACCAAAAGGCACTGACAACACTAACCTTCTGAAACTCTTTTTAGAGCAGAAGAAAAAGGATAGTACATAATTCACTGATAAATAACAACTGTTGATGCATATGTTCTATTATTTATTTCTATAGTACAATTTTTATCTAGCGTTTTCAACTCAAAAATAAAAAAATATACCTTAATCAATATTAGCAATGCTGGTATAAGCAGACTTGACTGACACATTCATAACTCACCTTGCAAAAGAGGGCACCAACATTTCCCCCACAAAGAGGTTACTTCAGACGCAACCAGCTTCCCTTGACTGTTGACCTTTGGCAGGGCCACAATCCCACCAACACTGTTGTAACTACTGCCACTTTCTATTGCTGGTGTGGACTTTTTGCCGGCCCCGTCTTCTTCCTCCTGGGCCCAGGAACTAAAGATGGATGCAGCTCTTGTGTGCAGTGTATGCATGAGATCAAGCAGCTGTATGGACAGCATCTGCAAGCTAGAAACAGCACAAGAAGTAAGATTTAACATTTACTGCTTAAATATTCAAAATGGTAATTCTGTTTTACATAAACTTTTCAACTATAGCATTTTAGTTCCAGGTTGTCATTTTAACACTTTCTGTCTAATAATTCTCACTTTTTAAAAACCTTTTTCAATATTTGGACACTAAATTGCCAGTTGTTGGCGACTGTTTTCTGTTTTTTTTTTTTTTTTTACACTTTGATTTATATGGAGGGTTTTCTCCAAGTTCTTGTTAATATTGCTTAGGATTTTCCCCCTTCTTTTTACTCATGCTTTTGTGTTCTTTTATAATATTCATAATATGCATAACATCATACGATCATAACATGCTTTAACTCATGCTTTTGTGTTCTTTTATAATATTCATAATATGCATATTATCATATGATCATAACATGCTTTATTAGTAAAAATACAACTGCTGTGCGAAAGATGGTTGACTGGAAGGGCCGATGGTAAGACGGGCCAGCGTGCCCATTTTGTGACCCTTTGAAAATAAAGTTCGTTCGTTCGTTCATTTTTTTTTAAGTTGGAAGAAGAGGGCATAAGGTTCTTGTCAAATATTCAAAGGGAGACACATAACAGTACTGTAAGACCAAACATGTGGCCCTCACAACATCCAGTTTGTCATACATCAATTTACCACCAAGTGGTGAAGAACCGGCCAGTCTATCTACCTGCTCATTTCCCAACAAACTGGCATGACCTGGAAAAAATATCTAAAGGATGCTAACTACCCAGGACCTTTGAAGTGGTTCTTGCCACTCTGCACGGAGCATGCCTGTCTCCGCCTTTCTCAACATGCTCTGTGGGTCAGTTTAAAAGACGGCATGCTTGTTACTGTAACAACTGTGACTAAATGGCTGATCTAACTAACGGAGGAAAAGAGGTAAAAAGTAAAAAAAAAAGTAAAGTTCCCTTTTCACGCCTTTCGGCGCATCGGGCATATGGGCAGAGCGTCCCATATTTTTACAGACCATCAGCACTCTGTGGGTAATGTGGTCAGCAATACGCCGGCTGTCTTTACTTTCCCAGGACAGCCCATCCTGGTACCCATTTTAGGCTGGTACAGGATAAAAATGCAGTCACTTACTGTGGGACCAGCCTCCTCTTACAGATGCGGAAAATGTGACAGGGATTGTCACACTTGTGTCAGACTATTTAGTCACCAGCGGCAGTGTCAGGCACCTGACTAGCGATACAACTCTATAGTCTTACAGGACTGAAAGGAGGCCTACTATTACTGTGACTGAATAGAGTACTGTAACAGAAGTATGGGCTAGAAAGAGTTTTTCTTAGCATTCACCAGCTGTAAACTCTGGCGAAAAGTTCTGGTTGTTCATCCACTCCCAGACTTTGGACTCGATCCAGAACTTGAGTTTTACATGTACATCTCAGTAGCTGAGACATTTTAACCGAGGGTTGTCATTTAGTAGTATGTTTGGCTAGCGGAGTTTACCCATATTCCATATGAGTTTTGATAAGACGTTTTCACCCATGCACTAGGGGTGGGCTGATGACAGCCAGACCGGACACTACATCTATAGAGGCCACTAACTCTGAAATCCCTTGCCAACTCGGTTTAGGGCACCAGGGTGAGCCATTCATTACCCATGGCGCATGAAATGCTAACTTACCTGCTTTGTGTGGCTTCTCCATCGAGATCTTCATCTGAGTGCAGTCCATCATGTAGTTGCTCAGGGGTGGATGATGACTTCCCCATTCTCACCCCAGCCTTCTCTTTCTTCACCTTCTTTCTTCCCTGTTTCTCTCTCACAGAACCTCCTCGAGGAGTGGCTGAATGGCAACGTCCTGGAAGAGAAATAAAAATTCTAATAAACATGAGATTTTTCTCTTTTAAATTAATGTTGTTTCTATAAACATGTAATATTTCCCTTAAAAAAATGAAAATAAATTATCTGATTATTTGTTTGAAGACTCTTGGTTCCTTGCCTCTCAGGCAAATGCACTTCATTTTCGAATTCGAAGAAAACACCAATAATTAGTTGACTTTTCAAATGTGTCTGTCTACTAGGGAATGGGTCTATTCTTTTTTTTTTCCATGTCAAACTGGGACCCCAGAACCCATACAGGGGTAGTCACAGTTCAACTTCATGGAAAACAGGCCACCCCATGATTGATCCTGTTACTGCACCAGCACAAAAATTCACATAATGTCCATTACCTTCCCTTGCAACAATAAAAAAAAAATGGTTTGGACTTAGTCTTATTCTTAGTGGAGGTTTCAACTTCACTGCAATCAGGTCACCACATACCTGCTCCGTTCCTGTGCCAGAAAAAATCAAATGAAATGTCCCTCACTGTCCCATTTAAAAAACTGGTGAACAAACGATTCTCCCGGCTCAATCTAGAAATATACCCACGCAGTAAATGCATATGGCAGTTGCTAGAGGTGCCAAAAACCAACAGTCACCACCAGAAATGGAGTCTGTCTTTGATGGAAGTAGTCAGTCACAATAAGTTGGCTATACGCACGTAAAATTATTACATAAGTTATTTCAACAGCCCCCTACACTTCATTTGAAATCCACAGCTCACGGTGTTGCACCATGCACTCAACTTAGAAGCTGGGTGACGGAACCACATATTTCAGTCCACAAATAGGAGAAAAATTTAACAGTGGCCAGAAGCAAATAACTTGGCAAGACTAAAACGGTTGGCCTATCTATCAGCCATATTGGACAGGAAGTCTACATATTCTATATCTGATATGAAATAAATCAAGGTTTAAGTACCGACAGGCAAAATATACTCACATTGGCAGTGAAAATGATAAAAGGTGGTGAGAGGTTGATAAACAAGCAGGGGGAGAGACAGCAAGACAGACCCAGAATAATGAAGACATAAATGTTTGAAATGATTGTAATGACTGCCCTCTTGTGTCTCCTCCACACTGGCTATCTGTGGTGCAGAGTTAACACTGGCTCTAATATCTAGAGGTTCACAACTCAATCAACGCAGACATGATCCTCTTCATGGTCACACAACGTCTAACAACGGTTAACACCAGCGGCACATTTCACGAGTTTATTGACACGTTAGTTCAATACACAAATCACAGGTGAATCCACTTACAGCATTCGGACAATAGACGTTGACATATTCACAGCTGGCTTTGACAATCAAACAGGATACCATTCACAGCTGGCCTTCTCGATCATTCATTCCTCGCCGATTCAAATCCACATGCTCTAGTCATTCTCCATTCATCTTCACAGCTTCATTTTCCATCCTTTCTCTCTGGGGCCCAGTCACCGAATGCCCGCCTGATTCTCAATCCCCCAGATCTCCTCATTCACACGTGACACACTCTTTCCTGTCGTTTCACCATATCTCCGTGAAACACACGCTCTCAGGGACTTCCCCAGTTATGCCAATCATCCCCTGACATTATCCCTATTTATAACATCATTACATCTCTCCTCCCCTTAAACAAAAAAAAAAATATGCAATATTTTTTTTTTTTTCCATAAACCTATATAAATTTCCATATAAGAATATATTGCCTTATTTTACTAATATGTTTACTGTTGGCTGGAATTCTACCATTGGTTCTCTGACTTGTACCACATATGCAGCATCTCTTATCACTCCCCTTGACAGTTCTTGGCAATATGCTAACAGAATCACCTCCCCAAAGCGTTCCTCAAACAACGCGGATGACCTTATAGGCTCTGTGACGTACTTATCAAGTCCTGAAGTCAGTCTACCTAAAGAAGACTGAACAACACCCCAAAGCGTTCCTCAACAACGCGGAAGTCCAAAAATGGCTCCAAAACCAGACTTATAAATCACACAGTTCTGTATGTCCCCCATAGAACCAAGTTCCTGTTGACAGTTCATTCAAAGTGATTGCCACTCCTTGTTGGTCTTCGTCATTCACCATGGTTTATACCAAAGCTTTGCCAGAATTTACTCATTTTAGCATTGTGGCAATTTCATTTTCTGTTTGTCCACTATATAATAGATATTTCCAAATTTCTATGTTTCAATACATCTGTAATTGCCTGTTAATAAAATTTCTATTATAACCTAATGTGTCTATTGGTTTTTTATAAACTCATACACCATCTTTCAGTTTTATTTTTAATATTCATACACCATTCCTCATTATCACTTTCACATCATAACTTTCATATCATCACATTATACAACATTTATTTTATTTGAATATTAATTGTTAGTAACAACACGTTTATTGAACATTTGTTAGTAATGTTAGACTGTTACTTATAATTATCTCCCTTTTCTATTTAACTCCCCTTGTGATTATTTCTGTTTACTTGTCACCTATAATTATCTCCCTTTTATTTAACTCCCCTTGTGACTATTTTTGCTTACTATCTTTATAACCTAGACATAATATCTGGAATGTGATTGTCAACCCCTTTTACATGCATAATGTCAAATTTAAACTGTTGCAGTAACAATGCCCAGCGGTAAACTCTAGCGTTTTTATTAGCATCTATGTTCTGCAGTTTTACCAATGCAAGATTATAATATTGTAATGATTGTAACTTCTTTGCCGATTAGGAATTTTTGAAATTTTTTCAAACTGATCACTATAGCTAATGCCTCTCGCTCGAACGCACTATAATTATGTTGCGCTTGGGTGAGTTTTTGTGACATATAATATACAGGTAATAAAACTTTAGAATGTAACTGAGCTAGCATTGAACTTATGGTATGCAAACTCGCATCAGACTGTAAATAAAATCTTTTTGATATGTCTGGGTGTCTGAGAATTGGGAATGTGGAAAAAGTTTCTTTAATTTTTTGTAACAATTCGTCATGTTGTTGCTCCCATTTTAGTTTTGTTAGTTGTCCCTTTTTTAACAGTTCAAAAAACGGAAAGGTTAGGTCTGCGAGATTGGGGATAAACTTTCCATAATAGTTAATAAGACCTAACAACGACTGTAGTTGTTTTCTATTTTTTGGTTTTTCAATCTTTAATATTTTTGATACTATTTTATCGTCTGTCTGTATTTTGTTATCATACACTTTATGTCCCAAAAATTCGATAGTTGTGAACGCAATTTCAGTTTTGGTTGGATTTACTGTAAGATTTGCTTCTTGAATTCTCTGAAATACTTTCTCTAACGTTTGGAGATGTTTTGGCATATTGTCAGTATGAATACAGATATCATCCATGTATGCTACTACGTTTTCAACGTTGTTTAACAGTTTTCTTATCATTTTGGTGAAAATTTTTGGCGCATTTAAAATTCCAAACGGAACTCGTAACCATTCTTTTAAGCCTAATGGTGATTGAAAGCTGGTATATTGTATTGATGTCTCTGCCATTGGTATTTGCCAGTAACCTTTACATAAATCAAGTTTTGAAAAAATGTTGGATTTATATAAGCTCTGAAGAATATCTTCTGTGCTTGGAATTGGTTCTGAATCTAATTCTGTGATGCTATTGAGTTTCCTGTAATCTACACATAATCTAAGTGACTGATCTTTCTTTTTTACTATCACCAATGGTGAGCTATATGGAGAAGTTGAATCTCTAATTATTTTGTCTTTTTGGAGTTGTTTAATTTCGTTTGTGACCTTGTCCAAATAATGCAGAGGTATAGTGTAATTCCGTGATCTAACTGGGATATCTGTCTTTAACTGAATTTCATACTCTATCAAATTTGTTCGTCCAGGTTTTGTAGTAAATATCTCCTTGAATTTTGAAATGATATTTTGAACTGCATTTTTATCTTGTTCATTTAATTGTGAGTTTATTTTGATGTCTCTCCAATCTTTACTTTTCTCCAGTTCTAGAGTAGGAATTTCGTCCTCTACTGCATCTATCATTTCTTCGTCCACTACGTTACATGCATTTGATTCTTGTACCTCTTCTTTTTCGTCTATCACTGACCTTCGAATGTATTTCTTTAACATATTGAGATGAAAAATTTTCTTTTTGTTGTTCTTTAGGATTTCGTAATCCACATCAGATATTTTTCTGGTCACCTTGTACGGACCTGACCATTCAACTAATAGTCTGTCTGACTTTGCTGGTAACAATACTAAGACTTCATCTCCTGGTGTTAATTTTACAAGTCGTGTTGATCTGTTTGCGTATCTTCTTTGCCAGATTCCTGAATTTTGTAATGCCGCTTTTGCTTCCTCACATGATGTTATTATTTTATTTCTTAAGTCAATTACAGCTTGGTAGTCATTTCCGGTTGCACTATTTTCTGCTGTTCCTGTTATTAATTTCTTATACAAAGAAATTGGGCCTTTTGGATTTGCCCCATAGACAATTTCGAAAGGTGACATTCCTGTACTTATATGTGGAACTTCTCTATATGCAAACAATATTGCTGGTAGCAAAATGTCCCATGTTGACGGATGTTCATAAGTTATGCGGCCTAGCATTTTCTTAATGCTTTTATTTAAATTTTCAACTAATCCGTTTGCCTGCCTGAGCATGATACGGTGTCGTGAATTGTTGTTTTATCCCTAACAAATCCGTAATTGCTCTCGTTACCACTGATGTGAATTGCGTTCCCCTGTCCGATATTATCACTTCGGGAAATCCAATTCGTGAAAATATCTGTAGCAACACTTCTTGGATATCTTCAGCAGTAATTGTTCTTAGTGGCCAAGCCTCAGGCCATCTACTGGCAAGATCAATAAGCGTAAAGATATATCTGTTACCTTAGCAGAAACTACTGATAATGGGCCTATTATATCTACTGCCACTTCTTGAAATGGGCGTGAAGCTAGCTGTCCGCTTTGGACTGGCGCCTTTGGTGTCTCACCTTTTTTTGACGTTCGTAGGCAGATATCACATGATTGGACGTAATTTTTGATATCTTTTGAATATCCCGGCCAAAAGAATGATGATAATACTCTTGATTTAGTTTTTGTAACTCCCATATGTCCTGAAAATATGGAGTCATGAGCCAATGATATAGCTTTTTCTCGGAATTTCAGTGGTAGTACTGTTTGTTTTGTGATGCGTCCTCTTTTTGAATAAATTCTCGATAAAATTCCCTTGTCTACTTTGAACTTCCATTCTGCATTTTTTTTGTTTTTCTCGGTTCTCGTTTTGTTGCTTCAAAGCATTGTGTTAGAGTTAAATCATTTTTCTGTTCCTGGTAAAAATTTTTCCTAGTATTTTCATCTGCCGTAGTTATTGGTATTTGTTCTTTGTGCATGCTTATGGAGTGCTCTTGAGTTTGTTGCTTTTTTGTTACACTTCTTGTGACTGCTGCAACGTTTTCTATTTCCTGCAGATTTACACTGTCACTTTTATCTTCCATGACTGCATTTGTCTCTTGTCTCTGCGTGGTTAGCATCACCTCTTCTGTCATCTCAGGTATGTTTTCTTTCTCCCACTGTTTTATTTCATGATCTGTCATCTCTTTCAGCCCTGGTTGGTTACCAATGATAAGTTCTGCACACGGTGAACTTAATACAGCCATGTCCATCTTCTTAGTGGTATATGGCGTTTTGACCCATACTGATGCTATTCTGAATTTTTCTATTCTACCTCCGAATGTTCTGCATCTAACCACTTTATCAGTCATATCCTCTGGTTTCACTAATGACTTATGTATACCTGAGATCGTCGCCCCTGTATCTCTTAAAATTGAGACGATTCGATTACCAACTATTCCTTTATGTAGGTTTAATTTCCCACAGTCTTTCACAGAAGTCTATTCTACAATCTGAATAGTCATAGTCTATCACATTAATCACTGTTTTTCCTGTCTATCCATTATAAATTGTAAACATTTCGTGACGAATTAATGTTAATAAACACCACTCCTTCCTTGTCTACACAATACACACGAACTCACCTATACGGACGTATTACAAACATTTAGTAGTAAAAGTACTACCGCTGGTACTGACTGGACCCCGTTCTTTTTTATTGACAAGTATTCTTAACCTGAGGCATTCACTTGTGGCTGGTGTGCTGTACGGTTGCCTCGAGTTAGCTGTCGCTGATGACGTTTTATCTGCTACTGTGTTGTACGTGACCGTTGTTGATGACCTTGCTCGCTGTAACTGAGTGCCGTCTTGGCCCCTGGCCATGCAGTGTTCTTGCGGTGAAATCTAGTCCGAAAATTCGTATCTCTGGTTTATGACCTCTTGTTTGACGAACAAAACCCACGTCAAACAATAGTCACAGGGATACCGTTGCTGACAATTTTCCGTCGTGGATTACCCACCACAAGGGTCAAAAGTTCAGCTTACAGTCTCTTCCAGCGACGAACAAGCGTTCCCGCGGGATGAAACGTGTACAATTTTTTCACACGTGAAGTGAATACATTACCCAGTATTGCTTCGCCGTGTTTCTGCCCATTTTTCTCAGGCTAGCTTGTTTGTTTCAGAATGACTAGAGTCTGGAATTCAGTTGTCCCGGTTTTACTTAATGCCCTTGACAGCATGTCCTGGTCTTACATAATACCCCGACATTTCTTTAAACTCCATCTTCCAACACACATAGTCACTCAAAACTTACGGCTGCCGGTGTTTGCCTAAATTTTACTTCTGTCCACAAAAACACTACGTCTAATGTACTGGCATAGTTATAACATGCCTGCACTGTAACTCATATTTATAACTTACAATGTATTCGCACTTAGGACGAGCCCCCAATGTAATGACTGCCCTCTTGTGTCTCCTCCACACTGGCTATCTGTGGTGCAGAGTTAACACTGGCTCTAATATCTAGAGGTTCACAACTCAATCAACGCAGACATGATCCTCTTCATGGTCACACAACGTCTAACAACGGTTAACACCAGCGGCACATTTCACGAGTTTATTGACACGTTAGTTCAATACACAAATCACAGGTGAATCCACTTACAGCATTCGGACAATAGACGTTGACATATTCACAGCTGGCTTTGACAATCAAACAGGATACCATTCACAGCTGGCCTTCTCGATCATTCATTCCTCGCCGATTCAAATCCACATGCTCTAGTCATTCTCCATTCATCTTCACAGCTTCATTTTCCATCCTTTCTCTCTGGGGCCCAGTCACCGAATGCCCGCCTGATTCTCAATCCCCCAGATCTCCTCATTCACACGTGACACACTCTTTCCTGTCGTTTCACCATATCTCCGTGAAACACACGCTCTCAGGGACTTCCCCAGTTATGCCAATCATCCCCTGACATTATCCCTATTTATAACATCATTACAATGATGTACCTCCATTGACTCCTGCCTCCACAAATGTCCGTATACAGTGTACACAACTCTCAAAGTTATGTGGGGTCACATGAGCAGCATCACGAACCAAGAATGTCAGGGTTTCAGAAGCCTTCAACAGAGCCCGGCTGTCTGGGAACAGCAGCTTCTCATTGAGGTCTATACTGTACTGGTTGACTGGCATTCTGCTAGGGTGATATTCTCTACTGACCTGTGGACACAATAACACAAGCCAATCAATTTCCTTTTCTTCTGATTGTTAACTCTTTAAGTACCAAACAGTTTAATGAAGATAAGTTATGATGAAAAATGATCATTAATTACATTCAAAGTGGCAATATATACAAAGGTAGTGACTATTTGAGGAAACAAGATTTTGTTAGTGCGTTCTGATCACATATAAAAAAATAAGATAGCACATTATGCTATGGAGCAAAATCACTGGGTAGTGGCGTGGTGATTTTGATCATTGGCATGAGAGAAAGTTAAGGCTGTGGTGACATGAATAAGAAGTTACTCTATACCTCACCTTAGGTGCCAGCTGGTTTTACGGACTCTCACGCAAATCTCCTGCCACATGTTCCCATCATGCACCGCAAATAATGGCTTACCTTGTTGACCTAGACCGAGCCGGCAGGGGATCTCGGAGTTGGTGGCCTCTAGAAATGTGGTATCCAGTCTGGCTCTCATCCCCCCCCCCCCCAAGTGCATGGGTGAGAGCATCTATCAAAGCCCATTTGTAACATGGGTAAACTCCACTAGCCAAACATTCAACTAAATGACAAGCCTCGGTTAAAATATCTGAGCTGCTGAGATTCAGCTCTGTAACAAGAGACAGAGATTTGCTCACAGCCAGGTCGAAACCAACTACATGATAGTTGCCTTAAACGTCACATGAAGTCTAATACTGAAAAAAAAAAATTAACGAGAAACAAGTAGAAAGCAACAAAACAACGGACATAAAGATCAAGATCAAAGTCTGAAACAAGTGCAAGAATTTAAATCCTTGGGAAGCATCTTTACATACAATTGGTAAAGTAGAAGGAGAGATAGAAACGAGAATCCAACAAGCCAACAATGTCATGTACCAACTTGCTCCAATTTTAAAACACACAGCTATCCCAATAGAGGCAAAAAAGACAAATTATAAACACAAAATGTATACCGACTTTGGGTTACCAATGTCAGACTTTGACATTGACAAAAGAACCCAAAAGAAAACTAACCACCTGTGAGAGGACAAGTTTGAGAATGGCTGTAAATAAAACGAGAAGAGATCAAGTGAGAAACGATATGATCACAAGAATAAAACCAATGATGCCAGCAGCAAGAGCATACAACCTGAAAATCAAAACACTAAGAGGCAGGGGAAGACCAAGAAGAAGATGGATTTGAAGGAGTCCTAATTACTAACACCTTGAGACTGCATAATATCACAGCATATAAAGTGACTGAGCGCGCCCTGGCTCGGCTGCCGATCGCTTGATGAACTGTGACACCTAGCGGTATAAGCAGATATTGACAAAAGACGAGGAAAAAGATTTCCATTTCCAATCTAATTACTAACAACAAAACAACATAGGAACAAACAGTTCAATGTTGTTGCTACAATAGTTTCTAATAGAGTCAGTGTGCTTGGTGAGCTTGCAACAAAGATAACCATATCTCATTGCCAAAGCACCAAACTTACTGTAGCACCATTGAGATGATCATTCCAGCCATACAAGGACCAGACAATCAGCAATGTGGTGCCTTCAGCCTTTACCTATCTATCTATTCAAGAGAGGCTACTTTAGTCATAAGGTATAAATGTTTTATAGGTTATCAGTATAAAGTGAAATATGTACACTCATATTTTTTTTTAAAAACACAATGGAGGGAAAAGTTGAAGGCAGGTGAGAAAGAGGCAGGCAGCGAACCAAGTGAGAGGATAACATCACATCCAGGGTGAAAGACAGAGTATGATGGAGATCCCTTGCAGCCAACTTTCATTGTTGAGAGGGCATCTAGCTGACAGACTGGTTCAGTATAAGCCTATGAAGAACATAAAGCAAAAGTTAAGGACTTGTTCTAAGCCACAAGAGATATTGGGTAGATGGTGGAAGCCTATACAACCAGTGCTTTGATGGCAGAAAGTTATGGTTGTTTGTCCACTTCTGGAGTTTGGTCTTGTTTGCGTGCATATCCATTTTACAGATCTGGCTTATCTGTATGCAAACTGTTGGTTCCACGCCTCTCAGGCAGATGCACTCCCAACTTCAAAGGAAATAGCTCTAATTCCTCTACATGATTGTATAACTGGGTGAAATACTTCCTGATAGATAGAACAATCCAGACTAAGATGCATAACGCAATCTCTTCTAAAGAAGTCTTGGAGGAGGGCTTGCCACAAGGCTCATCATTGAGCTGTACACTATTCCTAATCTTTATCAATGACCTGCCAGAACAAATCAAAGCCGAAAAAGCCTTGTACGCTGATGACCTAGCAATATGTCAGAGTCATGAAAATGTGGAAAGTGGAGCCCAAAGACTGAATGGAGACCTTAGAAGACTGCATGAGTACTGCCAAAGATGGAAACTCAAGGTTAACTGTGCAAAGACGGTCTACACAATCTTTACCAAAAGCCACCAAGTAGCATGGAAGAATATTAACCTGAGGTTAGACAAACACCAAGTGATGAAAGAAGAGCATCCCACATACCTTGGAGTCACACTTGACCGGCAGCTCAGCCTCAAGAACCATATTGAAAACATCAGGAATAAGGCATTGAGGCGGTTACAGTTATTAAAGAGACTTGCAGGTACATCATGGGGATCAGACAAGGAAACTCTGAGGGGCTTATATCTAGGATATGTTCGCTCTGTGATAGAGTACAACAACTCACTGCTTACAACTTGCTCCAAAACTAACCTAGAGACTCTTGACGAGTACAAAATAATGCCCTCCGATTAATCTGCTGCATGTGAAATCCATACAAATGTGGAACCCCTCGCGGGGTTGCGGAGAGAAAAAGCCACTTTAGAAATTTATGAAAGATGCGTTAGGAAAAATCGTAACCATCCTAATAGACATCTTGTAGAAAACTGGGAATGCAAACAAAGAATAAAGCACAAATCGGTTTTACACTGTGTTAATGAAATTCAGGACAGATTCCACCTCCCAGAAAGACGTCAAGAAATTCAGAATGTTGCAAGAAACCTACCACCACATGCTCGCTTTAAAGCTCCAGAAGTCCGAACTAAATTGGTGGGCGAGGAAACCAAACAGTCCGACCCAATCGCTCTTATGAACTCATCACTAAAGACCATTGATTTTTACCCCCAAGAATGGATACATGTCTATACTGATGGTTCAGCTTTTAAAGCTACCATTAAAGCAGGTTACGGAATCTACATAGGTTATCCCGATGGATCTGTTGAAGAGATTTTTGATGCATGCGGGGAATTCTGTTCAAACTATGAAGCTGAAATAATTGCACTGGAAACAGCAGTATACCACATAAAGACTGTAATGGATGTTTACCCTTCAAAGGTCCAAAATATTGTCATCTTCACAGATTCAATGTCTGCCCTTCAAGCTCTGGAGGGCAGTCAACGTTGCAGAACTGATATAGCCAAGATAATCCTGGATGCTGATCAGCTTATTACCTCATACAACATCAGAAGAGTGATGCAGTGGATTCCAGGTCACTCCGGCACACCAGGTAATGACAGAGCTGACAGATTGGCAAAGAAAGGAGCAACACAAGAACAACCACCTACAGCGACAACCCTCCAGACAGCAAAAACACTGATAAGAGCTATAAACAAAGAGACTTGGTTGAACAGATGGGCCATGGGAGACACTGGAAGAGAGGTTTATAGACATATGTCTGGCCCTGATCCTAATGACAGCATTAACCATCTAACAAGAAGGGACCAGGCCACCATCTTCAAACTTAGAACGCAACACACTCCACTCAATGGACACCTAAACAGAATACAGCCACAACACTCCCCAGAGTGCCAGCTATGTAACTACCCCTACGAAACTGTTGAACACCATCTCTTTGAGTGCCCAGAACTCAGTGAGACAAGAAGAACGCTACTCCCTCCGAGACCAGACAAGTGGAACACCTTGTACGGAGGAAAAGAACAGCTTGTGAAAACATGCAAATTCCACTACATGGCATTGGGCCAAAGGGCGAAAGCTCATGCGCCGCTGGATCGATAACAACAACAACAACAACAACTCTACTTGTATGACATACTTATTAGCGGGACAGTGGGTCTTTTCATTTGTTCCCCCAAATGGGGCCCCCTGAACACTCATGGGGACACCCATCTAGCAAAACACACAATGATGATGATCCTACCATCATCCAGCTGCCATTATCCGGAACTGGCCTCAGTTCAAGTCCCACCGGATGATGGTGATGGCCCTGCTGCCTCTGGCGGTTCTGCCCCTCATAGAGCTCACTGTCGGACGTGTAGCCTCTGTCACTGACTTCTGAGACAGTGCTCGCATCCTGAATCTCACTGTCGCTCTGAGCACCTGAACAAGCAACAGGAAGCAGCAATGAAACACACACCAGTACACTATGTAAACATCTCAAACTGAAGAGCTGTGAATTAATGTGGAATGTGATTGCAAAGCTTATCAAATGTGATTTATTAATATGTTCAGATAACCCATTATCTTCTTCTTCTTCTTTTGTTCACTTTAAATAAATTATTTATATCAGCAATGCTGTCTCTAGTATGAACTTCACTGTCTTTTGTAATTCACTTAGCAGCAAAGTTTGGTTTCAACCAGCGTCTCTCTTGGCCAGAAGTTTTGCCAGGAAATGTTGTATTTGGGACAATCTTGGAGCATGTGATCTGTTGTCTCAGGTGCCAGTCCACATGTGCACATGGCTGATTCGGGATCACCGGTTATGAATGAAGGTGAATGTGACTAGGATTGCTCAAAAAAAGAGAATCAAATTATGTTCTAATAAGTGATTATGAATGAATGTGAAACACAACTAGAAAGCTCAACAAACAGAAAAATAGAACCTCATTGTGTTTAGATAACCACATAATAATGAATGTGAAAAACAAATATGAAGATCAACAAAAGAATTTAATTTTACGTTCAGATAGCTGGTTATGAAACATGATTGGAAAGCTCAATAAATAGAATCTAATTCATTCTGAATAACTGGCTAAAATCTTCTTCTTCTTCATCCACGTCTGGACTGCAGACCTGTTCCAGAACCTGATTGTTGCATCCATTTTACAGATCTGACTCATGTGTATGCAGACTGCTGGTTCCTTGCCTCTCAGGGAGATGCACTCCTACTTTGAAGGAAGCTCCAAGTTAGTCGATTCTTACATGTTTATTGGGTAGGCAGTGGGTCTATTCTTGTTTTCCCTATAATAGGGCCCCGGAGCCCACACAAGACTGCAAGGCTCACCAAACTGATTTAATTTTGATTTTCAGATAACCAGTTATGAAGGATGTGAAAACTGACCAGACAGCTCAATAAATGGAATCAAATCTAATGTTTATTCAAGTGGCTAACAATGAATTTAAACAGCTAATGTGAAGCAAAAGCAATGACTTGAATCTGATGGTCAGATAACCGACTATGGATGTAAAGTTTGGACCCTTTGCATTTCAGTGGTGCTACGATGCTAGACTCATGATTTTTATAGACCAATCGGCACTAGATGGGTGATGTGGAGACCAATCGGCACTAGATGGGTGATGTGGAGATCAATCGGCACTAGATGGGTGATGTGGAGACCAATCGGCACTAGATGGGTGATGTGGAGACCAATCGGCACTAGATGGGTGATGTGGAGACCAATCGGCACTAGATGGGTGATGTGGAGACCAATCGGCACTAGATGGGTGATGTGGAGACCAATCGGCACTAGATGGGTGATGTGGAGACCAATCGGCACTAGATGGGTGATGTGGAGACCAATCGGCACTAGATGGGTGATGTGGTCAACATCACAACAGCCACCTTTACTTCCTATGACTTTACCTGGTACCTGTTTTAAGCTGGGCTGACATGGGAATCAAGTTCTGAATAAATGTGAAACAAAACTAAAGAGTTCCCCAAATGGAATCAAATATATTCGGATAATTTGCAAATAAATAATGTGCTCTGTGACAAGGAAGGACCTGTGAACCCTCCTTAGCATGTGTGGGAGATCAGCGTTCCTATTCTTTGCTTCCATTATAGGCCCCTGGAATACACAGGAAATGTACCAACAAAGGGACTAAAAATGTGTCAGGCCAAAAATGAGTCCCTAATGTGGATCAATGGGAGAGAATTCAACAAATTCATGTGAATCTAGAGGTGAGGAAAAGATGCAGGTGCTGGATAAGACAAACATTGAGAAAACAATAACAAAATTACTATAACTTCCTGGCACTGGAACATAAACTGTTAAAGATTTAAAAAAAATAAAAAGACAGACCTAGAAACACATGTAGAAGAGAATTAGACAATAAGGTGAGGCAGGGAGGAAATGGAGTAAGCCGCACACAGTAGCAAAAGATACGATGACTTGATGTAGGTTGGTCCAATGGGGGGGGGGGGGGATAAGGGACAGATTCGCAATAAAATCAAATACTGTGGCAGAAAGAAAGCTTTGTGACAACTTTCTCACCTGCATCGTTGATAACTTCAGTGACATCCATATCTGGACGAACCTGCAAGACCGGAGGTAGATTGGCACCGGCCCCAGCTACTTCCAGCAGGGTAAACAAGGTGTACCAGTCTTGGCTGGAGTGGATATTGGCGGCATTCGTTCTCAAAAGGTCGTGGAGTCCATAACAGATCTGAAAATTCATTTATCTAGTTTGAAACAAAATCTCCAAGTATATAAGATATATAAAGGGAGTAATCAATTAACAAGAACAGAGCAAAAGCATTCAATGAAATGCATTCCCGGGTGCCAAAAACAAACATGTATTGGGTGACTCATGCCACGACTCCATTATTGCTTTTACTGTGGCTTTCGGAAACATTTTTTAGTCAACCTGGTTTTAAAAAGCTGTTGGATTTGAAAGGTAAGCCCTCCAAATGCTATGAGGTCCAAAATAATTGTTTTTTTAAAACATTTTTTTATCAATGTATCCGTTCAACGTAAACATCAGAAAGAGACAGTCATAATTTTTCATCATGTTATGAGAAGAGGCAAAATGGAACATGTTGTGACCACTGGAAAAATCTGTGGAAAGAGAGAAAGAGGAAGACAGCATGAGAAGATTTTTGATGGTTTTTTGTCATGGCACAGAGGGGTGTCAACACACAAACTGATACAGACAGCTGCGGATTCGCAGATTGTGGAGAAGCATGATCGTCCACGTCAGTCGGCATAGCACTTGATGATGATGAATATCAAAGTACCCATGTTCTAACAATTACCTGTCTGCTGACACTATGAATCACAGCTGGCTTCATCATGAGAAGAATTCGGAGGGAGGACAAAACTTGAACTGCATTCTCTTCTCTTCGTAGAAGCCGGATGGCGATGCGAATTAATCCAACAACAGATCTTTCCAGAAGAAAAGAATGACTAGAACTGTTCACTATAGTGTTGTACAAATGGTAGTGAACCGCCTGCCATACTGGAGCTATCCGATCTCTGTTGATTACAGAAAAAGGGTTTACAATTGTAAAAACAGAAAAACATAAATTCTGCATCTATTTAATGATATCTTTGTGTGTTACGAAGGCCCGTAAAGTTTCAGGTTTTCCAAGGTTATCCCCATGTGGGTCCTGGGGCTCCATTTTGGAGAACAAAGAATAGAAACACCGCCCCCTAACAAGCATGTCATGGGAGAGTAATTTTCCTTCAAACTCGGAGTACATCTCCATGAGAGATAAGGAAACGGCAGTTTGCAGACAAATGAGCCAGATCTGTAAAAATGTTACGGATCAATATCAAAGTCCAGAAGAAGACGAACAATTAGAACTGTCTGCCAGAGTTTACAGCCAGTGATCGCTAAGAAGAAGAAGGAGGAGCAGCAGTGGAAGCAGAAAAAGAAGAAGCAGAAAAAGAAGAAGAACAACAACAACAACAACAAGAAGAACAAGAAAAACAAGAAGCAGAGGCAGCAGCGGAGGAGGAGGAGGAGAATGAAGACAAGATTTAGAATTAAAAAGCTCGACTTTATTGCAGCAGGTTTTATATCCCAACGATGATTCCCATGATGCCGTAAAAATTGCACTATGAACCCAACAATGTACTAGGTAAAATGAACTTATAATCCTCACAATGAAAAAGCAAACAGTGCACTATGTAAAATGAACTCATGGTCTTCACAATGTGAACCAAACGGTGCACTAGATAAAATTAACTGTCCTCACAATGTGAAGCCAATGATGCACTAGATAAAATGAACTCATGGTCTTTACAATGTGAACCAAATGATGCACTAGGTAAAATGAACTCGCGGTCCCCACAATGTGAACTAAATGATGCACTAGGTAAAATGAACTCACAATGTGAACCAAACGATGCACTAGATAAAATGAACTCACAGTCCTCACAATGTGAACCAAACGATGCACTAGGTAAAATGAACTCAGTCTTCACAATGTGAAGCAAATGATGCACTAGATAAAATGAACCCACAGTCCTCACAATGTGAACCAAACGATGCACTAGATCAAATGAACTCACGGTCCTCACAACGTGAAGCAAATGGCTTATCCACACAGTATCTCATAAAGGAAGAAGAGAATAAATATCACTATAACCTACCATGCATGTCATGTGACAACTAGGAAGAGCTGGCATCAAAATAGTTATTTATCTCTATCCCCCCCCCCCCCCCCCCCTTAAAAAAATCAAAATCTCCCCAATCATGAGCTAATCTTCTCCTCCTCATCATTTCTTTGCGTTCACCACCTGTAACTCTGGTTTAAAGTTCTGGTTGTTCATCTACTTTTGTAAATTTAGTCTTGTTCCAGAACTTGAGTTTTGCATGCCCATCCATTTTACAGATCTGGCTTATTTGTATGCAGACTTCTGTTGCCTCACCTGCCAGGCAGATGCACTCCGACTTCGAAAGAAACACCCATATTTAGTCCGCTTTCAATACGTTTGCTGGGGGAGAAGGGGGTGTGTGGGTGTATCACCCCCGACCATGGGGTCCTAGAACCCACACAGGGAGAAATAAGCTAATCAATAAAGGGCGTAGGTTACGTTGGATGAGGGTATGTGTTTTATTGGAAAACTGAAAGGACCATTTTAACACCACTGGTGCATTAGGCATATGACATCAGACCTACATTTTTTTTGTTTAGAGCAGTCAGCATTCAGGTGATGTGGCCAACATAATGCCAGCCATTTTGTACTTCCTAAGACATTTCTCTGTACGCATTTTAAGCCAACTTGACGTGGGAGGCAAGGTCATTTTCATAATGCTGATTCCACTCAAGAACTTCAGCAAGCATCTAATAGGAACATTAAAAACAGGGAAAGGGGGGGGGGGGAGCTACAACAGAAACTGCTCTAACTTGTAAGGTGGAGATAACACTAACATTTGGGCCTCAAGATGAATAACGCTTTCAATTCCAGGCAGTGTTTCTCTGGCTTATCATTTTCTATGCAGTTGTTACTGTAAACTAATAACTTAATGTAACGAAGTTATAACATTTTGAGACATGACTAGTTAAAGTAACAAATGGGATATAAGAAGCTAATGTAACACACGGATGGACTATAGGGATTTAAGAGCTAGGTCATACCAGAAATAACTGATAAAACATTAAATACGTTTACTGCTTCTAAACGAGGGTGTTTTACCTATTCTGAAGAACCACTCGAACTAGCAACTCCAGGAAAAAGACACAAGCATCCTCATCATAGTGCCCATTTAGAGAGCTTTGATCCTCTGTTCCTTGTCTGATTGACACCAATGTCTGGGAGACAAACAATGTACACATCAAAATTATGGAATGATATTCATATTAATATTTTACTTTGTCATCTTCTATGTTGAAATGTACAAGTAGTTTAGGGACGTATTATACTGTGGCTCCAAAGCAAAACCACAGATAATAGAGAGACAGAGAGAGGGATGGAGACAGATAGCTTCTCTTCGTCTTTTCTTCTTAGCATTCACTGGCTATAAACTCCAGTGGAAAGTTCTGGTTGTTTGTCCACTCCTGCACTTTGATCTTGATCCAGAACACGAGTTTTGCAGGCACATTCATTCGACATTTCTGGCTTATTTGTATGCAGACTGTTGGTTGCTTGCCTCTGTGGCAGATCTAATCTCACTTTGAAGGAAACAACCCTAATTAGTGGCCTCCTACAACATGCTTATTAGAGGGGCTGGGGTCTACGCTTTGTTCTCCAAAATGCAGATCTGGAACACGGGTGGGGGGGGGGGGGGGGGGGGGGGGGGGGGGGGGGGGGGGGGGGGGGGGGGGGGGGGGGGGGGGGGGGGGGGGGGGGGGATACAGCCATCTGTTCATTATTTCTGATACACTTGTTCATCCATTCATCCATGCCATGACATCTTCTTTCTTGATCTTCCTGTGCTTTTTTTTCTCTATAATTTTCCTGTTATCGATCATGTCAGTTTTCTTTCATATATACATCCCCCAGTAATAGCCAAGCATCCTAATTCTCCCCCCCCCCCCCCCCCCCCCCCCCACACACAAACACAAAACCCTGACACCAACTGCTACAGAGCTATGTTGAAGAAACATTGAACACAGATTAAGAAAAAGACTGTAAAAGAGGGAATAACAACATCAAGAACAGCAATAAAAAAAAAAAAAAAACTGAAGATTAGCTCATACAACACATCAGAAAAAGCACACAGAAGATCCGTGCCTGCCCCCCTCCCGAACCACCACCAACAACACTTCAATGAGGTGATAATTGGAGGAAGAGAAGAAGCTGGTGAAAATGAAAAATTATTCTGAAAACTCCCAAACCTTAATAAGTTCTTGCAAAGAATCCTCTCTAAGGAACTTGCTGTCCAGGATTAGCTGATCCAGCTGGCAGTCTCGAACACAAGCTGCCGCCACCTTGCCTGCTTCGAGTTCCTCTAGAGTGGGTCCCTTGACGCTGGATGACTCCGATAGAGAGAAGTAAGACACAAAGCTGCTCAAGACTCCAGTCTCTGACCTGTTTTAGTACAAACCAGAAAGGATTCCAAAACTAATACTTTTAAGACATGATTTATAGACAGCATGCTGTTTCCGGTTTTTGTTCCTTGCAAGTCTAAGGTCTTCATCTGAAATTAGGAGATCTGCAAGGTTTCTGATCTATCGACAGCCTTTCCGCAATCAAAGAATTAAACGTGTAGATCGCTTATTTTTATTGATTAGTGAGGACTATCACCACAGTACACCAGACAGATCCACAGGTGCTCTGATCTCCTCCTCAGTAGCCCCACAAAAGTAAAATGACTAATCATGCCCATTCTGTGTTGAATAACCAGACAGCTTGTGCCCATGGTGAACTGTTTATATCTGGCTACTCCAGGTTTCATCCCCACATCCATCAAGCTCGACAAGGACACAGAGTCCTGCTTGTTGTTGTGATCTTCTCTGCCATACGCAGCTCGCATGGCATTAATGACATCCTTCCTCTCCAGAGCCAGGCAAGTCTTGGTAACCGCCTTGTCTGCCAGACAATCTGCACACTCAGTGCCTTGAACACCTGCACTGCCCAGCACAAAGATAAAGGTCAGGCAAGTTGTATGTGATGCATTTAATGAGAGAAACTACTGATAACTGAGGAAAGCTGGTCTGGATTTTCTTGAACGTGTTCATTGAATTGTGTCCTACTTTTATTGAATGCTGTATTAATTAATGTACTTAGCAAATACACAGCAAATACTGTATCCTGGCCTTTTGCAAACTTGCATTGCTCTTCTCCTATTTCTGGCTGTATTTTATACATAAGTAACTGAGTCCAGAAATTCAGTTCTTTTCACCAAGATGCACTTTAAAAGGCCTCTTTTACAGGAATATGAGGCCAGGCTCACATTTTTACAGACCAATCGGCCCTCGATGGGTGATGTGGTCAAAACCACGCTGGCCGCCTTTACTTCCCTGGACTTTACCCATCTCAGACTGGGTCGACATGCATTGTATAAAATACATTTGACCATTTTCGTGCAAGTTTACCGCCTTACACAATTTATTCAATATTTAATTTTTTTTTTAGTGCAATATAAAAATCACATTTCTAAAACCCTCGTTGAAAAAATATTACCATAAGTTATCATATTATATATTTGGGTTCTCCTTAAAACTATGGCCACTTATTATGGAGTATGCCAGAGTTCAGTCCCCTGGTTGCATTGCAATTACGGAGTGGACAAGAGGGAATGACACAATTACTGTGTGTTGGCGATAGACAGTGTGAACCGATGAGGTAATTACTGTGTGTTGGCGATAGATGCCCTGCTGTCATATTAGGGTTAGGGTTAGGGTTAGGGGTAGGGTTTGGGTTAGGGTTAGGGTATTGGTACTCCGTAAAACTACGGTCACTCCTAACCCTACCCCTAACCCTAACCCAAACCCTAACCCTATTATGACAGCAGTGCATCTATCGCCAACACACAGTAATTACGTCATTTGTGTCGTTCCCTCTTGTCCACTCCATAATTGCAATGCAACCAGGGGACTGAACTCCCGCGTACTCCATAATAAGTGGCCGTAGTTTTAAGGAGAACCTATATTTGGAATTTTTTGGGGAACTTTTGTCAACAACTGAATAAACAAATAATAATAACCATCAACTGTACCTTGTCAATGCTGCTGACTCCTCTCGTAAAATAGAAATTTTTCCTGTTGCATCGACAAAGTCTTCCACCTAGAAGAAAAAATGTTGCATCGTTTTTAAAAGAAACCTTTCCAAAATTTTATGTTAGCAACACGATTGCTAGATATTTAAACTTGAATACTTTCTATCAAGTAAGCAGCATTCTAGACAATGAAATTGCATACTTTCATAAATAAACGCAATCAGTTATCAATGATAACTATAATTTACTTGATTCCATGGAGAGATCATCATTCTACACCTCAGTATAATAGACTTAATACTCTGGAGATGATGTGGCTGAAATATCGGCCCAACACAAAGTAGCGAAAAGGACGACTGGGCTGATCTGTCGGCCAGATGTAATACAAGCCTTGAGACTGGCTAGCAGGTTTTCATACCAGCCAATCAGACTGCTTCTCACATTTCTTGCACATGTGGGCTATTTACTGACGGCTTGCGAGAAAGTTTGATGTGTTCGGTAATTTTACATCAATTTTTTTCTAGGTTACCTGTGCCCAACAATGGTGAAAAGGACTGTTGCATCATAGCAACCGAAACAAAGCTGAAGGCAGAAAAATGAATAGAACCATGTGTCAGAAGTGTCTCCAAGGACCTTAGTTCCCAAAACACAAGTGTTAAGACTTATTCAAGCTTCATTCATAAAAAACTCACCCATATTTTTTTAGGTTAGTCATGTCTGTTCCTAAGCTGTGTTTTTTTTTAAGGCTTGACATAAATTATGCAAATCAGAATAGTTACTTTTTAATAAATGATGAAATTTCAGTTTGATTCATAAAAATTCTGTTAGCTCATTCAATTTTCGACACGAATATATATACATAGTTTTCTATTTGTTAATTATCGGCGTCTGTGGCTTAGGCATTGCAAACGCGCTTTGTAATGTCCGGGTGCCGGGTTCGATCCCAGCTGTGGGCTTTGCGCCTTGCGTTGGACTTAAACTTGCCTAGAAAAACCACAACAGCCAAAAAAATACTGGGGTTGGTTCTGCAATGTCCTGTAAAGGATACACAAGTAACTAACTATATGTTAATTAAAAGCTTTTTTTTTTAAAGTTATTTTTTTGTGAATAAACTATGAGAATCCCCTCCTGATGGCTTTTTTTTTTTTTTTTTTGGCACTGAAACTACAAAGAAGAAAAAGAATTCTGAATCAATCAGGAAGTTTCAGATAACTTTTGAAAAAACTGCCCCAATGTGGTTCAGTTCTGTATCACTGTCTACCCTTTGCTATGGGCCTTCCACTTTTCCTTTCAGTATGTTTTTTTTTTAGCATTTTAGTGTTATGTCTTTTATGTGACCGACAGATTTTACTTGTCTCCTTTTAATATCTTTTAACAAACCTCTTTTAACTGTAATTCTCTCCAAAACATGAGTATTATCTCATGTTACATATGTTCAATCATTAATAATGGCAAATAACAAACAATATATGAACAATAACGTAAATGAATACACAAATCTTTCTCTTCTTCTTCTTCATGTTCTCCAGTTGTAAACTCTGGTGGAAAGTTCTGGTTGTTTGTCCACTTCTGGACTGCAATCCTGTTTCAGAACCTGAGTGTTGCATGTGCATCTGTTTTACAAATCTGACATTTGTATGCAGACTGTTAGTTCCTTGCCTCTCAACCAGATGCACTCCGCCTTTTAAGGAAGCTCCCAATTAGCCGGCCCTTTCGACATGCTTGTGGGTAAGCAGTGGGTCTATTCTTGTTTTCCCTGTAATAGGGCCCCAGAACCAACAAGGGGAGAATACACAATTGAAATCAATAAACATTTCAAGAACGATGAAACTACTTCAAATCTAATTAATCAATGCCTTTTATGCCAAACCTAATCAACGAAGATCTCAAGTCATTCCCTACCTCTATCATTGACTTTGGCAACAATTTGGCTCTATGTAACTGCAACATACAGTCCAAGATGTTCTTCCAGCCCTCGCGCAGTATGTCACCATGACGATGTGCCAATCCAAACACTGTCCTGGCTGCTAGCTGAGCCTTTAGATTGCTGCCAAATGATGCAGGTATGTATTCTGGATTCTGCATTGAAAAAAAAGGAACACAAAAATACATGATAAATGTGTATCTATTATTTACTCTTTTAATCCTCAGCTGCTGTCTTAAAATAATAACTGTCTAATTCAAAAGTACTTCAAGTGATAAATGTTCTTATAATGTATTAAAGTCTAAATATATCCTCTTCATGCCACTGTTGACAGCTAAGGCATTCACAAGTGATCCACACTGCAGCCAATATGCTGCTTTTCTGCACATGATATCCCATGCCAGTTTACATTCTATCATATTCTTTTTACTGCCCTCCAGGTTTCCCTAGGTCGTCAATGTCTCTTTTTACCATCTGCCTTACCAGAGAGCTGTCCTTGCCAAACATTTACGATCTGCCGTACCAGAGAGTTGTCCTTGTCAAAGTTTTACCACCTGCCGTATCAGAGAGCTGTCCTTGCCAAATATTTATGATCTGACATACCAGAGAGCTGTCCGTGCCGAAGTTTTACCACCTGCCATAAAAGATAGCTGTCCTTGCCAAAGTTTTATAATCTGTCGTACCAGAGAGCTGTCCTTGCCAAAGTTGTACTATCTGCCGTACCAGAGAGCTGTCCTTGCCAAAGTTTTACCACCTGCCATACCAGAGAGCTGTCCTTGCCAAAGTTTTACCATCTACTGTACTAGAAAGCTGTCCTTCCTGAAGTTTTACCACCTGCTGTACCAGAGAGCTGTCCTTCCTGAAGTTTTACCGCCTGCTGTACCAGAGAGCTGTCCTGGCCGAAGTTTTACCACCTGCTGTACCAGAGAGCTGTCCTTGCCGAAGTTTTACCACCTGCTGTACCAGAGAGCTGTCCTTGCAGAAATTTTCCCACCTGCTGTACCAGAGAGTTGTCCTTGCCGAAGTTTTACCACCTGCTGTACCAGAAAGCTGTCCTTGCCAAAGTTTTACCACCTGCTGTACCAGAGAGCTATCCTTGCCGAAGTTTTACCACCTGCTGTACCACAGAGCTGTCCTTGCCAAAGTTTTACCACCTGCTGTACCAGAGAGCTGTCCTTGCCAAAGTTTTACCACATGCTGTACCAGAGAGCTGTCTTTGCCGAAGTTTTACCACCTGCTGTACCAGAGAGCTGTCCTTGCCGAAGTTTTACCACCTGCCATACCAGAGAGCTGTCCTTGCCAAAGTTTTACCCCCTGCTGTACCAGAGAGCTGTCCTTGCCAAAGTTTCACCACCTGTTGTACCAGAGAGCATTCCTTGCCAAAGTTTTACCACCTGCTGTACCAGAGAGCTGTCCTTGCCAGAGTTTTATCACCTGCTGTACCAGAGAGCTGTCCTTGCCAAAGTTTTACCACCTGCTGTACCAGAGAGCTGTCCTTGACAAAGTTTTACCACCTGCCGTACCAGAGAGCTGTCCTTGTTAAAGTTTGATCACCTGCCATACCAGAGAGCTGTCCTTGCCAAAGTTTTACCACCTGCCATACCAGAGAGCTGTCCTTGCCAAAGTATCATGTGGTATTCTGTAAACATGCCTAAGCCATCTCTATATTGTTTCTTTGATAAAGTTTACCCCTCCTTGTGCACTTTCATATCCAAGGTGTCACTTATAGAATGTGCCCATCTTCATGCTGGTCAGCCCCTGCTCTACCTTCCTGGAACCAGGCTTTCTGCTATTATTTTTTTTTTAATCTGCCCTTCCACTTGATAAAGCCAAAATATTTCAGCTTCCAGAACAAGATGCTGTTTATTAGCCAATCTTTAAAATGATAAAGTGAACGTTATATTTCATAAAGTCTATAACAGAGGTGACAGATGGCTTCCCCTCCATACTGTCTTTATAGCTGGCGGATTGTAAAGTAAAGCCATCCCTTCAGGCGTACTAGGCATACAGGGCTAGGTCTAAACTTGACAGACCAAACGGCACTTGGTGGGTGATGTGGTCAGCACTACACCGACCCCATTTACTTCCCAAGACTCCACTTCTGTGCCTGTTCAAAGGCTAAGTCGACCTGGGAGCCCAGGTAATTTTTTTTAAAATACCTTTTTTGACTGTCAGGACCCGAAATGACCTTCCGATCCACAGGCGAGTGTCTGGCCGCTACACCACGGCGGCTCCCAGTGGTGGATTGAGTAAAATCAAATTCTTTTATGTTTTAAAAATAGTAAACATGCCTACCACAGAAAATATCTGTGGTCTCCATAGAACACAAGGTGAATGAATTATGTAATCTCACTGTTAGTTTTAGACTAACTAGTCACTGTCACCCCAGGGTTGCCAATACTTGGGTTTTCCCCCAAGATCTGAGTTTTTATTTGACACCTTGGGTAAGGATTTCGGAATCTTGGGTTTAAAAAAAAAACATTCTTATATAAAAGTGGGGTAAATGTTTCGTTTTGTAACTACAATTTGTACTTTTTATCATTCTTTGGTGTTTTTTTTTTTTTATTATTGTTCTTAGCTTGTGTATTGTTTGGGTTTTTTGGTCAAGCTTGGGTTTTGATAAAAATCCTATTGGCAACTCTGGTCATCACAAATGACTTGACATCAGATTAGCCACTAGAAGACAATAGTTAAACATTTTAGGACACTTCTGTTTGACCTTCTCTTTTACCGCTTTGGGTTTTGATGGAGACATAAAGTTCTGCTTCTTGCTCTTCTTGGCACGTCGACAACAGAGACATCGTGCTGTTCTACTTTGTGCTATACGTCCTTCTCCTCTTTTGGTGTATAACTTGTACGGTATGGCATCACAAGGCATTCTCTCTAAGTGGGCAAACAAATTTCATCTGCTGCCTTGGTTCTTTCGTAATATCCTACCCCAGATGATGTCACAGGACAGTCTAACATTTTAGAGGGTGGTAAGACTGGGTTTCCTGGTTTTCTGCTGCTTTTAACGACCCCAAAACATTTAGAAGTGGCCCTAACCCCAACCTACCTACGTCCCACGAGAGAGTGCAGACTAGGTCCCACGACTGCATGCAGCCTAGGTCCCACGACTGTGTGCAGCCTAGGTCCCACGACTGCGTGCAGCCTATCTACCACCCCCTGAAATATTGAACTGCCCTGTCACCTGTGGATTTCCCCAAAACATCTAGAAGTGGCCCTAACCCCAACCTACCTACGTCCCACGAGAGAGTGCAGCCTAGGTCCCACGACTGCATGCAGCCTAGGTCCCACGACTGCGTGCAGCCTATCTACCACCCCCTGAAATATTAAACTGCCCTGTCACCTGTGGATTTCCCCTGTTTGGGGGAATTTTTAAAGATATTAAGAAAGCACCGCTGCCTTTGTATGTAATTTAGAACTGGTTCTGTGCCAACCTTTATCTCTTATGACCTAATTTATGATTGCATCTCTTCCAGCCACTCCCGCAGCTCTTCTCAGGCATCTCATTTTTATTGTTGTGTGACTGTGCCTGGTATTTTAGAATAACTTAAAAGTCCAAAAGTTGTGGAGACAATACAGTCACCCGTGTCCTTTGACAAAGTGAATGATGATGAGGATGGTAATAACATGAAAATAATAAACCCACCCACCTCGACAGCACTGAGCAACGTTGTAAATTTACACAGGGAGATCACCAGGTTGTCAAAGACATCACTCATGCCATAATATGCGGAGATCATGGCACACTTCCTGTGAAATGAATAAAGGAAAAACTAATAGAACAACCCTGGCTAACGGACCTAGTATTCAGTCACGAAAGTGACGCAAATAACCCAGACCACAAATATAGGCGGAGACTGCTAGCAGCCTAGGCTAGCTAGCAGCAGTCTGAACGTGGTCGAGCTTTTTTTTTTTTTTTTTTCTCAAAAGGACTTGGACTTGGCTAACGGACATCTCAAACTTGGCTAATGGACATTTCAAAGTCTGGCCTATACATATCTTGGGCTAGCTCCATATATCAAAAACACTAAACAAGACAGGGGTGGGTACCTTTAGATTAACTGCAAGAACAACAACTACAAAAATGCTGCCATTTTGCCTTTAATTACCACTTTTGTGGTGTATGTGGGGGGAAAACAAAGGGGTGGGAGGGATGGTCTTTGAGCCCCAGGATTTAGGGCTGCATGGCTAGAGCTGTCGCCACAAACTGCGCAAGTTAGGATTTTATTTTTGCCCTCTACAGAAAAAAAAATCCATAATCCTACCCAGTATTCGAACCCGGGTCTCCTACATGATGAGAGCCCTATGGTCTAAACCCTGGTGGCCAGCCGCTCCTCTTACATTAATTACAAATCTGAGAGATATCACCTGAAAATTCAGCATCTGTTGCTTCTAGAGCTTTTTTAATAATACATTCTTGTCTTTTGGTCTTAAATTTTGTTGCAATTGGATACAGAAAAATCTTTCTAAACAAAAATTTTTTTTTCTCAACTGTTATTATACCTGCATTAAGAGAAAGATTTATGAATATTCTTATTTTGGTCTCAACTTTTATCAATAAAATCCAGGATCAGCCTTCTAAATAAAAGCATCTGGTGTAAACTGTTGCCATATCTAAATATAGAGGTAACCTTCTAAATAAAATATTCTTCACTTGGCCTCAACTTTAATTGTACCTGAATCCTGAAACAGCCTTCTGAATAACAGTTTCATCGGAGCTTTTATCAAACACAAATGACAGCGCTGCGACAGTTGGACCCCAGACGAGGGTGAAGATTTCGTGATCAAATGCATCTGTGGGGGCATGCAGGAACACTCCTTCTTTGGAACCTCCTCTGTGCAACAGAACCTTGAAGAAAAAAGCACACAGTAGTCTTAAACAGTATTCTTCAACCTTTTTACACATGCGCACTGGAAAAAAAAAGGGTAAAATATTGTACGGACCGGTTCATAGCTAAGACAGACACAAAAACAAATGTAGACAGCATTTCAATATTGAACCCAATGCTGTGAAATTAACTCTTTGAGTCCCAGGGGGTTTAGGGGTCAAACAGATAGTCAAGAGAGGTGTCAAATCAGCACATTTTGCGTTCATTGGGCATCTTTGTAGGAACCTATGAAGGTATGATGCGTTTCTTGGGACTGAAAGAGTTAAAACTGTTAGCTAATGCAACATTCACTACTTAGAGGTGAAAACATTTTATATACATGGACCAAAGTGCTGTTTCTGAGAGATAAACAGCTGCAATAACATCCATACGATTTCACTGTTTGGTTTCCATTGCAGCCGCTACAAGATTGGGTGCGTGGATATTTCATTTGATGGATCACAAGGAAATCTTGATAGATCAGTTCCAGTCTGCTGACCACACATTGAAGAACTGAGGTCTACAAAATCTGACACAAATCAGGTGGAAATAAAAACAAGGATGCCAAACTTATTCAGATCATGCAAGAGAAGTCAACATCTAAGATTTAAGGAAGAATCTGGCTACAGCCAAGGATCACTTTTACTACACAAGACAATCTACACAATCCAAAAGTTTCTAGTCTCGTCTATCAGATCATACAAGGAGAATCTCAGGACAGTGCAAAAATCTCTATATAATCCAAAAGTTTCTAGTCTCGTCTATCAGATCATACAAGGAGAATCTCAGGACAGTGCAAAAATCTCTATATAATCCAAAAGTTTCTAGTCTCGTCTATCAGATCATACAAGGAGAATCTCAGGACAGTGCAAAAATCTCTATAGCACTGGGAAGGATCTTTATATTTTGTTCACAGAAGAGTTGACAGATTCTTCTTCCTGAGTTTTTCATCAGAAGCAAAGGTCCTCAACAAACTCACACACAGCCATTTGTTACCTTGTTCATTTCCCGTGTGGGCTACAGAACCCCATTGTAGGGAAAACAAGAATAGACCCACTGCCTCCCCAACATGTCATAAGAGTCAACTAACTCGGAGTTTCCTTCAAAGTCAGAAAGTATGGCTTCCTTCAAAGTCATAATGTATCTGCCCGAGCGGCAAGCATCAATGAATAAGCTAGCAAAATGGATGTACACACAAAACTCAGGACTGTCACAAAGTCAAAAGTCCAAATGGAGGAACAAACAGGACTTTCCACTGCAGCTTACAGCCAGCAAACAAGGGGAAAAAAGAAGCGTGTTCATGACTAACTGGATTTTGCAACTAAAGTGTCCTATGCCATTCTCATGCAAACCTCCCTTTATCACCTCTTATGACATGCATGATTAGTTTCAGTGCTATTTTTCCTTTCTTTACTTATCACTTTCCTGACCAGCAATCTGGGGCTTTACTGTCTCCCATTACTAAGGGTGTTGGGAGATTGTGTTCAAAATGACTGATTTTTCTAATAAAATTCATTAAAAAAATAAAAACGAGCGTAGGGTTTTGAAACCTTCACAGCACCATTACAAATGGTTGCTACACATGAAAAAAGATATATTATGAAAATGTCACATGCTTATGGAGGCCATCTTAAATTTGTTTGGCTATTTATAAAAATTTCAGGAGATGTTATAAAACCATAATATTTTTTCCTGTTCTTAGTGAATTTGTTCAATGTCGGTGAAATACAGTGTAGGGAGCATGGTTGACGATGAATAAAATTAGCTAAAAATAGGAGCAATTATTGAATTATTGACCAAATATTTCAACATTAAAAGTTAATAAAAAATATGAATACAGTGAAATAAATCTATTTCGTTTATTGTGTTTGTCATGTTACAATGAGCATTTGTCAATGCTTGACTACAAAAGCACCACAAGATTAAGTCTGAGCTACTTCCTTCATTAACTGGAGTTAAAGCTGTAGCAGTAGCCCTCTGTCTTTGGCAGGAATGTTGATAATCCTCAACTGTATGGTATAGCTTGAAACAGTGTCAAGCATAGAGGTGTATAGCAATCTGGGCAGTACATGCAAGTCTAGCTTCTTTTATCCTTACACACTTTAGTCTGGTTTGTACATTGGCTTTATTTTTTTTTCTAAACAAAATTTCACTCAGTAAGTTGTAATGCTGTGACCTGTCTTGAAGGTGTTACACTGTGCAAGAACAGCAGGTCCAATGAGAGCAAGACTGACATCCTGCCTGAACCTCTTTGCTGTGGTCTCATACACAGAGTTGGCAGTGTTGTAGCTTACATGCTCATTGACCAGAGCAGTATCAACTAAACATAAATAAATAATATAATGGCAGGTACCATTTATAGGATCTACGTGAGTAGGGGTAGTTTGCACCCAGCTGGCCAAAGTGATAGACACCTCCCAGATTGTTCTTGTAGTTTTTCTGCAAGAACTGGCTTTTTTATTATTCTGCCCTAAAGAATTCCACTTTTCCTAAATGTCCATAACAACATTGCAGTCAACAGCAGAAATCAGGTGAACTCAGAACTCTCTTAGTGTCATGCCAGGTAATGGTGAACATGCCTTTATCTTCTATCATATAAAACAGGATGATGTGCTTTTTTTCAGCTGCTATTGCTTTTTTCTTTAAAAAATCAATCGGTGCACACCCAATTGTGTCTGACATGGCACTTTGTTGTTCTGCATACGGAGGAAGATTGTCAAGCTTGACAAGTTTGTTTTGAGCAGCCTTTCTCCATTTACAAACTGCATCTTCAGCTGTAGAAATGTTTTGATCTCTTGTGCCAAGCCCACTTCTTACTTCAGATGTATCCACATCACCTCCGTCATCAAGTCTATCATCATTGTCACTACTTTCAATTGCGATATGATGATAACATTCATAGGTGAATCTCTACTTATCCATGAATCAGTGCTACATTCACTGGCAGATTCAGAATCATCAACAGTAGGGGTGTGGTTTTCACCATTGAGACATGACAAAAAAGCTGAATATGCACTGGAAATGAAAATTATCAAAATTTCACTGAAAACGACACTTGTATTGGCTCAAAGCGATATCGATCGTAGGCGAATCATCTTGGAATAATACAAATATCCTGATGAAGCTCAATTCAAAAACTGTCAGTAAGGCTGACTGTTTGCAGTCTGCATGTCATGAATTCATAGATCGTCGAAGTTGGTCACCAGGGGATATGATCGGAAATTAGACAATCATCAAAGCTGGTGAGCAAAGTGTTTTAGGCCCTGATAATACATAAGCTGTTAACAGATAGTGCCGAACAACAAATATTCCCCTGTGCGGGTTCTAGGGCCCTATTCTGATGGGAACAAAACAGATCTGCAGCTTTTTTTAAAAGCATATCCTAAAACACCATGATCTGCTGAAAACTGATGTGTTTCGCCAAAAAGCTCAGATATCACAGCCTAGCTGTAAACCACAACACAACATGTCAGAAGAATGCAGAAGAAGAAGAAAACAAAGTATTACCTTCCAAAGATAATTATCCTTGACTAGACCACTGTGCTCCGCAGGCATCACAATCTCTTCGCTCCTGTTTGAAGACAAATGCATGGACCATTCATGTTTCCTTTTCGTTTCCTTTGTTTAATTTCAAATCTACATACTTAATCACTATTTATAATTTACTAACCAGGCAGTAAAGCCTGAAACAGTTGCAACTCCCTGTATTTTGATGATCTGTAGGTGATTCATTGCCAGAAATATCATCTAGAATCACATTGCATGAATTGCCTTTAGCAAACCGTCAAACATATGGAAGTTATAGACATTCAGCAAACACATACAACTCAATATCTTCATCTCTTGTGTGATTCCAGTGCTAACCTATGGATGTGAGAGTTGGAAAGCAACGATAAAAAAATTAAGACAGCTTTGAGAACAAATGCCTCAGAAGAATACTAAATCTCCACTGGAAATATTTAAGATCCAATATGTAAATAAGACAAGAGACCAAGCATGATAATGTATCCAATTTTATAAGAAAGCGTTGCTGGAATTACATCAGCCATGCACTCAGAATGGATAAGACAAGACTCCCTCATCAAGCCCTCATATGGACACCTGAAGGGAAAAGAAAACTAAAACAGTGGCTGATGGCTCCGCTTTAGTATTTAAACCCAAAACAATGGTTGATAGCTCAGTTTCAGTACTGAAACCAAACAGTGACTGCTTTCTCAGCTCAACAACAGTGATGGAGTAAACAATAACTGATGGCTCAGTTTCACTACTGAAACCAAACAGTGACTGCTTTCTCAGCTCAACAACAGTAATGGAGAAAACAATAGCCGATGGCTCAGTTTCAGTACTGAAACCAAACAGTGACTGCTTTCTCAGCTCAACAACAGTGATGGAGTAAACAATAGCCGATGGCTCAGTTGCACTACTGAAACCAAACAGTGACTGCTTTCTCAGCTCAACAACAGTAATGGAGAAAACAATAGCCGATGGCTCAGTTTCAGTACTGAAACCAAACAGTGACTGCTTTCTCAGCTCAACAACAGTAATGGAGAAAACAATAGCCGATGGCTCAGTTTCAGTACTGAAACCAAACAGTGACTGCTTTCTCAGCTCAACAACAGTAATGGAGAAAACAATAGCCGATGGCTCAGTTTCAGTACTGAAACCAAACAGTGACTGCTTTCTCAGCTCAACAACAGTAATGGAGAAAACAATAGCCGATGGCTCAGTTTCAGTACTGAAACCAAACAGTGACTGCTTTCTCAGCTCAACAACAGTGATGGAGTAAACAATAGCCGATGGCTCAGTTGCAGTAATGGAGTAAACAATGGCTGATGGCCACCACTGTAAAGTTGACAAAATAACCCATCAAACACTAAATAGTCTATAAGAGTCTAGGACCATATGTCTAATGCAACAAGGGGTGAAAAAAGGCCCTTTAAATTTTTTGTTTTGTTTTTAAATTTAAATTTTTATTTTTTTTAAATTTCTTCATATTGAGGTTACACATGCTGTACTCAACATGGCAGCATCACTATCCATGTCTCCTGTGTTATTTAAAAGAAGCTGTGGAAAGAAATAACGGCAAGAAGCAGTGTAAATTTGCCTAGAAAAATCACAACAGCCAAAAAATGCTGGGGTTGGTTCTGCAACGTCCTGTAAAAGATACATAACTAAATTTTAACAGGTAGTCATCTAGACTGTTTTAAAAATGACCTTGGCTCCCTAATCACCCCAGCCCCAGTTTTCACTTCAGTCAGTTATGAAATTCACAATATTATAATCATGTATTTGTCAATTTTAAGTTCAGTATATGATTTTAAAAAACAAAACAAAATAGGGCTGGGGCTTAGAATTTGAAATACTGCTAAAACACAAATATATATACACAAACACACACACAGGGGTGCTGACACAAAATAGGGGGGGGGGGGGGGTGGGGAACCTCAGTCCCCTTATAAATTTTCTATAAAAAAGGCCTAAGCCTTATTAAAAAGCATCATAAAAATGATTACGTACCAAATAGCAAATAAAAAAAAAATATTCAAAATAATATGAAAAGTATAAATTAATAACTTGAGAACATTTGAAAGCATAGTTGGGGTGGGGGGGGGGGGGGGGGGGGGGGGGGGGTCATTTAGCTACTTTGTAAATTTTTTAAAGAAAAAAGGGGCACTCAGCCCAAGTCTAAAGAAATTAAGGTGGGGGGGGGGGGGAGGGGTGCCCCTGTACACGCAATCATAACCATGTCCCTTGTCTTTCTCAGATTTATCCTGTTTCTTTAGACTGCAATTAAAAACAGAATTTTTTTCTGTAAAAAATGTAACTCTGAATGTCAGAAGCTCTTGGTTGGTTCGGGGTGGGGGGTGGATGTGTGTGTGTGTGGTTGGGGAGGGTGGGGGGGTGGATGTGTGTGTGTGTGTGGTTGGGGGGAGGGTGGGGGGGTGGATGTGTGTGTGGTTGGGGGAGGGTGGGGGGTGGATGTGTGTGTGTGTGTGGTTGGGGGAGGGTGGGGGTGGATGTGTGTGTGTGTGTGGTTGGGGGAGGGTGGGGGGTGGATGTGTGTGTGTGTGTGTGGTGGGGGAGGGTGGGGGGTGGATGTGTGTGTGTGTGTGTGTTGTTGGGGGAAGGGGGGGGGAATAAACCTGCTGCCACTTAACAAGCATGTTGTGAGAAGGAAAAAAAGGTGGCTAAGTAAGTGTTAGCTGAAATCAGATGTGTTGAGCCAAAAGGTTGATATCGCAACCTAGCTGTAAACCACAACACAATATACCGACTGTTCTTTTAAGGGTGAATGCAGAAGAAAATGAAGTCTCACAAGAATTACAATTAGGGCTGTACCGAATAGTGATTTTCACTATTCGGCCTAATACGAATAGCTGGACCAACTATTCGGCCGAATACGAATACGAATAGTGAATCATCATCATCATGTGCTTTGCCAGCTGGCATGGGCGATTAAGCCTTGCCACAATCTGCGATCTCCTGCAGCACGTATTAGTGTGTGTGCTGACACACCTCCATGAAAAACCTTCGTTCCATGTTGTCAGCATTAGGCCAGCTTTTTGTCTCACTGAAGGTATTTCCAGCTGTACTAAACAGGAAAATACGACAAATACAGAGAGTCAAAATGAAACCCGCAAGGCGAAACATCAAAAACAAAAATAACGCCGACGAAGAAAACAATGCTGTCCTTACAAGTAGCCCAGCCCCCCGCGAGCTCACGAAACCAGACGCCGGGCGGCCAACGCCAGAAGATCAAACAACAAAGACAATCAAGAAAACCGAATGTCGATCAAAACATTCAGCCGCTGCCGTTTCCACGAGATGACGAAAGAACAGATACGACACCCATAACTGATGACGAACTCCCGTTACTTCAAAGAATCAAAGAAGAGGACACTCCACTCTTACGACAAGCCGACAACACTAGAACACTTGCTTTTCTGCCCCTCTTACATTTTTAAGTGTTGCATTTTGTTTCTACAGCAACACACCTAAAAACACTATACTCGCAACACATGCAAGATGGAAATAAAGGGGCACTTGGTACGCTCGTAGGTGGTGCACAAAGATAACGCTTCACAGTATAAACCAAGGTGGGAAGTCTTGATGTTTTTTTTCCACCAGTCCAGAAACGGTTGTGAGGTTACCACTATTCGTATTCGGCCCGACCGCAACTATTCGGCCGAATACCAAATAGTTATTGGGTCCACTATTCGGCCCCGAAGCGAATACGAAGCGAATATTCGGTACAGCCCTAATTACAATATACAACATTATGTATATATAAGTGGAGGAAACAGGAACAACAAAGGATACCATTTATAGCACTGGACTATTCAACACAATTCTTCTTCTTAGCATTCATCAGCTGAAAACTCTGGCAGAACGTTCCCGCTGTTCATCCACTTCTAGACAAGTTCCAGAACTTGAGTTGTGTGTGCACATCTGTTTTACAGATCTGGCTTATTTGTATGCAGACTGCTTGTTCCCCACCTCTCAGGCAGAGGAACACCAGCTTCAAAGAAACATCCCTAATTAAGTCGCCTTTTATGACATGCTTGTGTAGGGGAGCTCAGTAGGTCTGTTCTTTTTTCTTCTTCCCCTAACCAGGGAACCGACATGGGAACCAAAACAATTAACCTATGACTAAAGAAAACAATCTCACTTTATTGCTTGAAAAATATCTTGCAGCATATCTTGATCAAAGTCTAAACCACCATTGACTCTGGACACATTTCGCTTGAAATCCTGTGAGAATGTCAAAAAGTAGTTTTGAGTCTGTTGTACCTGCCACAATGTAATTTAGGTCACCAAAGATGGGGTATGAAATACATCGGTAAAATGGGGCTACGACTAGCTGAATGGTTCAGGCAACATCTTTTGGATGTGCAGAACAGCGCACTCAAACCAGTCTTCTTCTGCCTTTCTATTCCCCAATGGAGCATAGGCCCTCAACCAACAACGCCAAGTTGTTCTATCCTTCGCCATTGCATGGAGCTCTCCCCATGTCCTCCCCATCTAACTTCATTCTCCAGCTCTCTTCTCTATGCGTTTTTTGGCCTACCTTTATTCCTATGCCCCTGTGGGTTCCAATGCAAAGACATTCTATTTATGCTGTTCTCCTGTTTTCTCAGTGTGTGTCCTATCCAACACCAGCGTCTTTTCCAGAGGCAGACAGTAGCCAGCCAGGCAGAGGCAGACACTAGCCAACTAGCCAGACAGTAACCAGCCAGGCAGAGGCAGACAGTAGTCACTTAGCCAGACAGTAGCCAACCAGTTAGCTAGCCACAGACAGACAGTAGCCAGCCAGCCACAGGCAGATAGTAGTCACAGGCAGACAGTAGCCCTTACCTCAACAGTCATTGGGATGTTCTGTTTCTTGGCATTGTGATTGTGCTGGTCCACATTTAGCATTATCACTGCATAGGTCAAGGTGAAAGCTGCATCGACATTGTGGAATGGTTCTCCGTTGCTTTTCTTGAACAACAACAAAAGTGAAAATGATATCAGGCATTTTTTTTCAATGCTACCTTTTAAAACTAACTTAAAACTGTATATATTCTTTGCGTACTTACTTTTAAATCCTTTCAACTTATAATTCAAATTTAAGATTCATGGTAACGGCAATGGAAGTTTTTTTCTTCTTTTTAAAGAAGTTAAATGTAGGATAGGGCAAGCAAAAACAGCATTTTCACAGTATGGAGATAATCCAATGCAATCTACTGTGTCAACCGAGGTGAAAGCTCTTAGAAACTATATAAAACCAATCCTGATGTACGGAAATGAATCATGGGCAGTCAAAGTAAAGTGAAAGAATTAAGTGAAAGCTTAGGAGATTAAGTTTCATAAATGATGCAGTTCTTCATTTCTTCTTCTACCCCTTCAAGTGTAATATGAGACACAAGTTGCTGGTTCCTGCTATTCTGACCGCCACGACCAGAGACTGGTATTGTTGTAGAGTTTCTCTGATGTTATCTTTTCATCATGTTCTTGGTCTACCTAATTCTCTACATCCTCTTTGGGTATATACCTTGAATGGCCAGATTTTTTTGCTCTGGCAGTGCTTTTTAATACAATCAATCACTGTTATCTCTTATCAGGAAATGCATTCTGAAAGAAAAATTACCTGAGAATGAGTATCTAGTGTTCTAAATTTAAAATGACATGTACGAACTGTGTGTACTCAATAGTTTCACTTCTAACTCTGCTGTCTTGGTTCTCTTTCTGATAAAGAGTTCACTCTACTTGATCATGCCAGAAATAACTTGATCAGATGAACGTTAACTGTTAACACAAAATATGGCATCCCAAGGCATTCTCTGTAAGTGGGCAAACCCTTTTATTTGCTGTCTGTGTATGCAATTTAGTTCTGGTTCTACACCAACTATTTCACTTATGACTTCATTCCTGATTATTTTTTCCCTGCAACCTTTCTCAGACATCTCCCTTCTATGGTTAGATAAAGACATAATGAATGGATGTGAAAACAAATAAAGATATGTTAAAAGAAAGAAATTCATGAAGAGAACCAACCACCCGTATCATACAGATACAAATCCAATTTCATGGGCCCATCATGAGAAGGGGAAAACTGGAGTAGAGTAGACACACGGAAAGTTAAAAGGGAAGAGTTGAAAGGAAAGACCAAGAGAGAAGAAACTGAACAGTTTGGCAAAGTGGCACAGAATAACATTTGTATGAGTTGAGTCAAGAATTGACATCACAGCACTCGGGGCATTCCCATGCATGCTCCATCCTCCTCTTCAGCAGCCAGTGCAGAGTTCGAATACTGATGGTACTGGTCACAATCTGGTTATATGTCCCTTATATGCCTTTCCTCTGAGTGTAGTGAGCCGGCCAGACCCTCTGGTTACACCCAGGAGCCTCGTTCTCTCCAGGCCATAATAATCTTGTTTCTCTACTGATTCAATTGCTTGTTCCCAAAGGGTCTTAACAACATCTGCCTTGTCATGGTGCAGATCCAGCCAATCTGACTGCCTGTTCATTACCCAACACACCAGAATGGCTTGGACAAAACTCCAAAGTATGCTCACTACCTGAGACTATTTTTATGACAAATGTCTGACAGTACAAAGACAGAAAAAAAATATATAAATATAAAAATTAAACATGTCTAGCAGTGCAGAGGCTAAACAGCATGGAGGAACTATGGCACAGCACCTGTGAGTTTAAGTAAAAAGTCTGAGACCATGTATCTTTCCCATGGCAACTGATGGATGTGAGTCATCGACAAATTCTAGAATATGGTAGACCAGTGTTCTCAACTTGCCGGTCAAATGGCCTTTCACAGGGGTCGCCTAAGGCCATCAGAAAACACATATTCATTGAAGTTATGAAGGAAAATAACTGTTTGGGGGTCGCCACAACATGAGGGAACTGAATTAAAAAGTCGCAGCATTGGGAAGGTTGAGAGCAACTGCCGTAGACCAAGAAGAATAACAACACAGACATCCTACATGATCTAAACAATTGGGAGAATTGGCCCATAAACAGCATCCTATCCGGGAAGCTGATGTATTTTGGCCATGTTAAGCGTTACTGTGGCCCGGAGAGGATGGTGATGAAGAGTGTACTTTCCAGAAAACAAGGCACAGCGGGTTGTGACTAAGGTGGATACAGGACACTGAAGATGCAATGGCTACAGAATCACAAATGGTTGGAGAATTGGCTAGAGAAAGAAAGACTTTTTGGCGTGCTGTGAAGACGGCAACATTCTGTACAGGACCAGCTAACTCATCATGATGTGTTAAATAGTTTTTCCAACAGTGGCAGTACGTGATTTCTGGTTTACCACTTCTGTTAGCACCTCATATCAAAATGCTTGTACAGTAATTTTTTTTGAATTCTAATTAACCTATCTGGGTACGATATTCTGTTTTTATTCTTACATGCCAGTGTTCTGCAAAGTGCTCCATCAACCAGGAAATAACTGGTGCTTCGCCTGGCATACGGAATGACTCCAGGTATATGCGGAGAGCTTCATCAATCCGGGTGTCTTCGAAATTGAAAGACCTGTTAACACAAATTTTAAAATATAAGCATATGGAGAAAAAACATATTTATATAAATGCAACAATTATCTTAACTGAAAAATTTTAAGAGATAGAAGTTGTCATTTAATATTAGCAACTCCAGAGACAGAGATATAGAAAAATACATACACAAGGGAGTTGAAAGGCAATAAACCACAAGATAGGCCAAGAAGACAGAGAAGAATTAATACTGAGACTTGAATGAACACTTGCAGTCTCCAACTGGAAACAGAAAGCAATCACAGAGAATGAGTGGAGGCTGGTGATATCTGCAGCAATGAACAGCAAGTAATGCTAAAGAAGAAGATTAACATAAAGGCTGGTGATATCTGCAGCAATGTACATCAAGGAATACTACAGAAGATTAGCATGGAGGCTGGTGATATTGGCAGCAATGAACAGCAAGTAATGCTAAAGAAGAAGATTAGCATGGAGGCTGGTGATATCTACAGCAATGAACAGCAAGTAATGCTAAAGAAGAAGATTAGCATGGAGGCTGGTGATATATACAGCAATGAACAGCAAGTAATGCTAAAGAAGAAGATTAGCATGGAGGCTGGTGATATCTACAGCAATGAACAGCAAGTAATGCTAAAGAAGATTAGCATGGAGGCTGGTGATATCTACAGCAATGAACAGCAAGTAATGCTAAAGAAGAAGATTAACATGGAGGCTGGTGATATCGGCAGCAATGAACAGCAAGTAATGCTAAAGAAGAAGATTAACATAAAGGCTGGTGATATCTGCAGCAATGAACAGCAAGTAATGCTAAAGAAGAAGATTAACATAAAGGCTGGTGATATCTGCAGCAATGTACATCAAGGAATACTAAAGAAGATTAGCATGGAGGCTGGTGATATCGGCAGCAATGAACAGCAAGTAATGCTAAAGAAGATTAGCATGGAGGCTGGTGATATCTACAGCAATGAACAGCAAGTAATGCTAAAGAAGAAGATTAGCATGGAGGCTGGTGATATCTACAGCAATGAACAGCAAGTAATGCTAAAGAAGAAGATTAGCATGGAGGCTGGTGATATCTACAGCAATGAACAGCAAGTAATGCTAAAGAAGATTAGCATGGAGGCTGGTGATATCTACAGCAATGAACAGCAAGTAATGCTAAAGAAGAAGATTAACATGGAGGCTGGTGATATCGGCAGCAATGAACAGCAAGTAATGCTAAAGAAGAAGATTAACATAAAGGCTGGTGATATCTGCAGCAATGAACAGCAAGTAATGCTAAAGAAGAAGATTAACATAAAGGCTGGTGATATCTGCAGCAATGTACATCAAGGAATACTAAAGAAGATTAGCATGGAGGCTGGTGATATCGGCAGCAATGAACAGCAAGTAATGCTAAAGAAGATTAGCATGGAGGCTGGTGATATCTACAGCAATGAACAGCAAGTAATGCTAAAGAAGAAGATTAACATGGAGGCTGGTGATATCGGCAGCAATGAACAGCAAGTAATGCTAAAGAAGATTAGCATGGAGGCTGGTGATATCTACAGCAATGAACAGCAAGTAATGCTAAAGAAGAAGATTAGCATGGAGGCTGGTGATATCTACAGCAATGAACAGCAAGTAATGCTAAAGAAGATTAGCATGGAGGCTGGTGATATCTACAGCAATGAACAGCAAGTAATGCTAAAGAAGATTAGCATGGAGGCTGGTGATATCTGCAGCAATGAACAGCAAGTAATGCTAAAGAAGAAGATTAACATGGAGGCTGGTGATATCTACAGCAATAAACAGCAAGTAATGCTAAAGAAGAAGATTAACATGGAGGCTAGTGATATCTACAGCAATGAACAGCAAGTAATGCTAAAGAAGAAGATTAGCATGAAGGCTGGTGATATCTGCAGCAATGAACAGCAAGTAATGCTAAAGAAGAAGATTAACATGGAGGCTGGTGATATCTACAGCAATGAACAGCAAGTAATGCTAAAGAAGAAGATTAACATGGAGGCTGGTGATATCTACAGCAATGAACAGCAAGTAATGCTAAAGAAAAAGATTAACATGGAGGCTGGTGATATCGGCAGCAATGTACATCAAGGAATACTAAAGAAGATTAGCATGGAGGCTGGTGATATCGGCAGCAATAAACAGCAAGTAATGCTAAAGAAGAAGATTAACATGGAGGCTGGTGATATCTACAGCAATGAACAGCAAGTAATGCTAAAGAAGAAGATTAACATGGAGGCTGGTGATATCTACAGCAATGAACAGCAAGTAATGCTAAAGAAGATTAGCATGAGGCTGGTGATATCTACAGCAATGAACAGCAAGTAATGCTAAAGAAGAAGATTAACATGGAGGCTGGTGATATCTACAGCAATGAACAGCAAGTAATGCTAAAGAAGATTAGCATGGAGGCTGGTGATATCTACAGCAATGAACAGCAATAATGCTAAAGAAGATTAGCATGGAGGCTGGTGATATCTACAGCAATAAACAGCAAGTAATGTTTGAGAAGAAGAACAATAGGACCTCCCAAGTCAGCCCGGCCTATAAATGGTAATGTTATGGGGGAAAAAGCTGGCAGACTTAATATTCATCATATTAACTACTTAATGCTGAATGGTTTAATATGACGCAGCACCATATGCCTAACTGTTAAAATAAATGGCAGAATGGAAGTGCATCAAGTGTATCTACTTCTTTGTGCACCTTTACAAAAAGTGGTTGGCATGTTGTGCTGTAGTTTACAGCTAGGCTGTATGTGTATCTAATTTTGAACCTTTTAACTTAAACTGCTTCATTTATTATCTCTCTCCCACGCACATCTCTGATATCTGTGCCTTTCAGCCCAACACTTCTGATTTCAGCAAATCCCTAATTAGTTGCCTTATATTGCTGGGGGCCCCCATGGGGCCTTGGAACATAATAAGGGAGCATGTGTATCTAATTTTGAACCTTTTAACTTAAACTGCTTCATTTATTATCTCTCTCTCACACACATCTTCTATCTCTCTTATTTCCTTCACCTCTACTTATTTTATTCTTCTCACTCTTACTCAGGAAACACATACTGAACAAAAACACGAAGAGAAAATACACAAATGTTCTGGCTACTGATTTATTCTCCAGTCATCTTTTTTTGTCCAGCCTGTGATTCTTTCTCCTTCTCTTTCTATCATATGTCTTCGTTTTATCTTCCCTGCTGTTAGTCAGTGTATGCACAGTAAACAAAGACAAATATAATCTTACTGGAAAACTGCTTCCAGCCCAACTATTCTGGCTACTGATATATTCTCCAATTATCCTTTTGTCCAGCCTGGGACCCTCTCCTTCCCTTTCTATCATATCTTCTCTTGTTATCTTCCCTATTCTAACTCAGTGTGCACACAGTGAACACACAAAGATATGATCTTAATGCCCAAATGCCTTCAGCATCTTCTTACTGTTCTTTAAAGTAAGTAAAAAGGTCCCCTTTCCACGCTATTAGGCGTACAGGGCTAGACCTATAATTCTAAAGACCAAACGGCACAAGATGGGTGATGTGGTCAGCATCATGCCGGCCGCCTATAGTTCCCGGGACTGCACCCGGTACCCACTAAAAGCTGGGTCGACCTGCAAGTCAAAGTCATTTTTGAAAAAAGTCTGGCTCCGCCAGGTAGAGAACCCATGACCTTATGGTCCACATGTGAGCATCTAGCCGCTGCGCCAGGGCGACTCCCTACTGTTCTTGCTACTCATGTATTCTCTGATCATCTCTTTGTCCAATCTGTGATTTTCTCTCTTCCCCCCTCCCCCTCTCTTTCTTTCTCTCTCTCTCTCTCTCTCTCTCTCTCTCTCTCTCTCTCTCTCTCTCTCTCTCTCTCTCTCTCTCTCTATATATATATATATATATATATATATATATATATATATATATATGTATATATATAAAATCTCATGTTACCCTCCCCATTCTTACTTGGTCTACATACAGTGAACAAAGATAAACATAATCCAAGATCTTACTGGACATATGCTTCCAGCACCTCCCTATTGTTCTTGCTACTGATGTATTCCCCAATCATTTTTTTGTCCAGCCTGTGATTCTCCTTCAGAAACGTGACCACCTCAGCTGGGTTTAATGGTTTTGAAAGCAAGCCTTGTTCCTGTAGATATTGAAGTCCCTTGGAAGGCTTCACATTAAACTGCTCTGTTCCGATCTGATATATCTGAAACATGACAGTACAAATGCATTATTAATTATGAAATAAACACTTCTACAGCCTCACGGGTTCCCCATCTGTTTATCTCTGCATATTATATGCAACACAATGGAACTGACCAATCAAATCTCTTCCTTAAATATTCCTTGCACTCTAGACACAGTCGGCTCTGGGGCTAAGTCGATGAGAACGCTTCGTAATGTCGGGGTGCCGGGTTTGATCCCAGCTGCGGGCTATGGGTCTTGCGTTGGTTTCAACAGTGGTATCAATGGGCCGACCGTCCAGAAAGCAATGGCAAACTACTGGACGAAAATTTGCCTAGAGTAACCACCCAAAAGCCAAGGGCTGCTGGGGTTGGTTTCGCAACGTCCTGTAAAGGATACACAACTAACAACAAAAACTCTAGACACACCATTATGGTCTAATATATTTAGAATTGTTTTTTATGTTTGTTATTCAATTTATGCTTGGTTAATATCAATATCTTATGGTGCCTTTTCAATGGTTTTAGAATAATTCTGTTCGTATTCTAAAATTGTGGGTTCAAGCTGTATGATAAATATGGCTAATAAGGACATTTTTTTTTTTTTGCCTAACTGGACATATGTCTCAGTACACTTATTTCTGCAGGGAGGTGCTGTCATCATTTGAAGGTGACAGGTCTGGCTACCAACACGGTAACTACATTTTTAGATTTTTATTTCTGTATGTTTATTACATATAATACTAGATTTAATTGCCCGGTTTCACCCGGGATAGTGAAAGAAAGTCTTATTCTCCCATTCTCTACCTCATCTTGGTTTTCCACTGATTTTGCCCTAAATTTGAAATGCACAATAACTTTTGCCGCCAATGTGACTATTAAATTAAACATTGTAATCATAATGGCGAATGATAATGTAACCAGTGTACAGGTCACAGTTTTGGAAGAGCTAATACTTTAAGCAATGGCAAACTACTGGACGTAAATTTGCCTAGAAAAACCACACAACAGCCAGGTGCTGTTGGGACTGGTTCTGCAACGTTCTGTAAATAAAGGATACGCAACTAACCTTAATACTTTATAAAAAACACATGAAATACAGAAAGGGTTTTAAGACTGATTATGAAAACTGACTCATTTATATTCTTGCATATTCTGGTTTCTAGTTCTCTATTTTCGGCTTCTCAATTCCCAATGGAGAATAGGCCTGAAACCAAATCTTGCCAACCCCATTCTAGAATTGTTTTACAGGTAAACTTTTTTTTTAAACAGATAAGAGAGGCAGCCTTAAGCCAACCTTCCTCAATTACCTCTTACTACTTCTTCTGTCATCTTCACCATGAAAAGAACAGTTGGCATATTGTGTTGGCATATTGTGTTATACCCATCACCAAACCCCGTCCCATATGGGTCACTATATTTTGATATTTCAAAGTCCCACTCTGGCTGCTGTTGGGGCCCTAATATAACCTAACCGTTGGAAGGGCTTTCTGGGACTTGTATCCAGGTGATCCTCAACTGAATAGTGGCACTATGTGTCACCGGGTGTTTATCACTTGTTGTACAATCCTGGTGGGGTAGAACTTCATTCATTCATTGTGCTCTGGTTTTAGAGCAAGAGGGCAATATCTGTGTCCTTCGACCCTCTATATCTTACATCCAAAAACTCCTAATTAGTCACCTATTACGACATGTTAGCAAATGGGCGGTTTGATTATTTTTCTTGAGTTCAAACTGTACACCATAATTTAAAGTAACCATTGTCTTCTTTTTCTTCTCCTTCGTGTTCACCGGATGTAAACTCCAGTAGACAGTATTGGTTATTTGTCCATCTCAGGGCTTTAGTTTTATTCTACAACCTGAATGTTGCGTGTACATCCGTTTAACAGATCTAGATTATTTGTATGCAGACTGCTGGTTCCCTGCCTCTCAGGCAGATGTACTCCAACTCTGATGGAAGCTCCCTGTTAGTCGACTCCTACGGCACGCTCTTGGGAAGGCAGTGAGTCTATTCTTGTTTTCCCCACAACTGTGCCCCGGAACTCACACGGGGAAGTAATCATTGTGAAAACAAACCTTTTTCTTCTGTTTCAGCTCTGCCAGCTCTTCCCGCGTGGGTATCTTGTTAGAGAATTTGACCATGCGATTGGGTTTAATGACAGGCCCTTTCCTTGCTTCCTTGCCTTTGATTGCCTTGAGGGAATCTGAAAATAAGCAGTATTCATGTTACTATAGGTCATACTATTTAAGTAGCCTCAATGGCACATTTGTTAGAGAACTTACCTTCTGGCTGTCACAAAGTGCATTGAGACTGTCTTCTGCGTTATTTACTATATAGCCCATTTTTTAGGTTAAAAAAATTGTCCTGTTAACTAAATTTTCTTGAACTGGGAAATTGCTGACCACCCGAGTTTTCTTGAACTGGGTAATTGCTGACCATCCGCCCTACAGACCCTGATCTGGCATCAAGTGATTACCAGCTTTTCATGCACCTCAACTCTTTGAGTCTCAGGGGTTTAGCATCAGAGGCCCAAGGGGTAGTCAAAAGAGATGTAAAATCGGAGCATCTTGCGTTCACTGGCTGGACCTATATATGTATGATGAGTTCCTTGGGACTCAAAGAGTTAAGAAGTGGCTGACATCCCAACGGTTTGAAAGTAAAATCGGAGCATCTTGCGTTCACTGGGCCTGTAGGCTGGACCTATATATGTATGATGAGTTCCTTGGGACTCAAAGAGTTAAGAAGTGGCTGACATCCCAACGGTTTGAAAGTAAAATCGGAGCATCTTGCGTTCACTGGGCCTCTAGGCTGGACCTATATATGTATGATGAGTTCCTTGGGACTCAAAGAGTTAAGAAGTGGCTGACATCCCAACGGTTTAAAACTAACGATGAACTGCAGACAGGCGTTAATGAATGGTTCAAGACACTGGTGGCAGACTTCTATGACACTGGAATTAAGAACCTGGTGCCACGATACTAAAAATGTGTTAAAGTCAAGGTGTTGAGAAATAATGTAAATGTGTGGTTCATTTTTGGCTGCAATAAATCATTTTTATATATGATGGTATTTTTTTTTTTACCAGTACTTACTTAAAAAACACACCTTGTAGCATTATTTGATTTCTTTCGTCAACAATACCATTCTTGCCAAATACGAACACTGTGAAACAGACCAGCTCTCCTCACAAAAGAGTTCACCTAATGGTAATTTAAAACTTCCTTTTCAGCCAAGAAAAGTAGCAAAGTCGTAGCTTTGTTCATCCTAGACAGTATCTGCACACCATTAGCTAAAGTCATTATTTTAAGGAAGATACCAGCACTTCTCATTCTGGGTGCCGCAGGTGTATACCACGGGTGCCGCGGCAAAAATCAAGAATTGTTTTTTCTGCTTGAGATCAGCGAAGACAGTAGTTTAAAACAGAAATCTCCCACGCCTGGAGCGGGGCTAAACTAGATGGCTGGGACTCATGAGCACACACAAAAAATGAAGGAAACTGCACGAGATGCGGTAGCTGCTGCTTGTGAGTCCCAGCGATCTAGTATAGCCCAGCTCCACGCTGCACGTAACGGCGTGGGACATACTCTTGGCGGTGGCAGTAGTCGCCGGAAGTCCGCAATTTACATGTGACTGAGGCCCCGTTAGAGTGCGTTTTTGGCCGCCATAATATGTGCCCTTTATTCGGAGGATAGCCGATTTAAATATGATAAACAAGCGAAACTTTTATATTTACCATAAACAAAACTCTATTTAAATAAAATAGAAAGACTACCTGACTGGCCATCCACAGTTTTTGCACTGCTGGCATTATCTGCAGATACAGCAATAGTTTTGGCCAGATTTTTGCTCTGGCAGTGCTGCTCAATACCATCAATCACGGTTATCAGGGCATCGAGTGACAACAGGTGAATTGTGTACAGCCCAGAAACTGGAAATGCATTCTGAGAGAAAAGTATCAGAGAATAACTTTAAAATCACGCGTATCTTCTTTTTGTTCTTCATGTCCACCTGAAAACTGCGGTGAAAAGTTATGGCTGTTAGTCCACTTCTGGACTTAAGACTTATTCCAGAACTCGTGTTGTGCACATCCATTGTACAGACCTGGCTTACTTTAGGTTACTCGCCTATCAGGCAGATAAACTCCAACTTCAAAGAAAACCCTTAATTAAACGACTCTATCACTGAGCCAGCAGCCATTCTCAACTGAGCCAGCAGTCACTGTTTAATTTAATTTCTACAGCTGAGCCAATTGGTCACTGTTTGGTTCTATTACTGCAAAAGAGCTAACATTCATTAAATGAAGTTGCTGTAACTCAGCAAGCAGTCACTGTTTAGTCCAGTTACTGCAACTGAGACAAAAGTCACTGTGATGAAGAACCCATGTACTTAGGTGTGTGTCTGCATATTTAGTCGCACACATTTGCATGAGTACATTGGGACATGCTTATTAACTTCCAACTATTAAAATCCCTGGGGTCAGATCAGACTTATGAAAACAGGTTAAAAGATCATTTTCTGGACATGGGAAAGGACAAACAACGACGAAGAGGTCTGGCACACTATCTCATTATACTGTGGCCTAAAACATATGCACCTTCAACTCTTCTCTGCCTCTAGGAGTAGGGGTATAGGACTGTCCTTTCCTATACATGTTACTTGACTCTTACAATACATAACCAAAATCCCATGAAAAAAATAAACACCAAATATAACTTACCTTAGAGAGAAGTTTGGTCATGTCATCAAAGAGATTGGAGCAATACAGGTCACAGTCATAGTTCAAATACAACTCTGTCACCAAACCAGGGATCCTCCACAACTGTACAATGAGGTCAAGAGTGATTTCTCTGTGATCATAGGTGATCTTCATGCTGTCGGAGACTATCAGGTCACACAGCCGCAGCAGATAGCTCTGCAGAGCCGTAAATCAAACAGAGAGTTACTATATTCAACTTTATCAGTCAAAGATGATGCACAACAAAACTTCACAAGAAAATTATTTTTAATATAAAACTGCCAGGACAAGATGCTCTGTGATCTCAGTTGATCTTCATGCTGTTGGGGACTATCAAGTCACACAGTCGCAGCAAAACATCATTTATAGACTCTGCAAGGAAAATCTTTTTTTTTTAAATTGCATTTGTATATGACAGCCAAGACAGGTGTTTATGAGCCAAATTTTCCTTGTTGTTCAGATCTTTCACAATGTCAATATTTTTTTTCTTCTTGGTTCATCTTATTCTGAGAATCTTTCTATAGCATGCAGCTCAAAAGCCCCTGTTTTCTTCCTTAGTAATTGTGACATAGTCAACAACTCACATATGTAGACTGCTAAAGGAAAGATGCATGCTGTCAAAATTGTTACTTTCATTTATGAACTGGTGCTTAGCTACAGACTTGTAATGCTGTTTAATCTCTGCACCGCTACGGCCAGCCTTCTTCTAATGTCAGTCAAAGTCTCCACTGATGTCTATTATGGAGCCTAGATATTGCCAGTTTGTGATATTTTCAATTTCTTCCTCATTTACTGTTTTTAATAGAGCCTAGATATTCAAAGTTTGTGACAATGTCAATTTCTTTATCATTTTTTGTTACTTTTGGTCTTCTTCTTTTTCTTCACTTCCTCTTTCACCACTTCATGTGTCGAGGTAAACATACAGTTCTGCTTCTCATTCTACTTTTACAACAACTTTTAGCAGATCAAAAACAAAATATTAATAAAAAATAAATATAAATTTTGTCGGCAAAATGAAATACAGAAACGATTAATCAGCTTACCTCTAACTGAAATTTGAGATGTGACCTCATAGATTCAAACAAGAGGAAGCTCAGTCTAAGTGAAGCAGCAAATAAGGACAGACGTTCAGACTGTAATAACTGCAATAAAATAGAAAATAAATGCACATAAATTATTTTTTCCAAAGTGCCTTAAGACTGAATGGTTTATATGTGTCTCTGTTGAAACACATTGTCTCTGTAGTTTGATGTCTTATTCATGTCTCTTCTCTTGTGACTGTCTTCAAGGCTCCATGTGACTGGTTCCTCTTTTTCTAGTGTTGCGCTGCATTTCCACAACTGAAGGCTCTCAACTGTGAGGGTCCATGAGACTAGTCCCTCGTCCTCTGAGTCTCAAAGGCTGAAGGTTCTCTTTGAGGGTTCATGTTATTAGTCCCTCCTCTTTTAAGTATCGTAGACTGAAGGTTAACGATTCTTCCTAACATATGAGGATCCATGTTACTAGTCCTTCCTCTTCCAAGTCTCAGCGACTGAAGGTTGCCTATCTGGTTTCTTACCCAGTATTTATACTGAGGTGCTGGAATGCGTGGTATATGTTTTGTACTCACAAACTGCTTTTAGAATGTTCTAGTACGGCTTAACATGTTTACTATGTGTGTTCGCACATGGGATTTTCTAACTGCGTTTGGATTGCATCAGATAATCTACACCAAAATATACTAACTGGATTGACAGGTCCATCTATGGCATTCTAGAAAGTCAGTACGATAAGGCTATAATTTTTTTATGTCACGTCAATGATTTCATCGGATGCTATTTATATAACTAGATTATTCATTTGCAAATAACTCTACACTTGATGGTTCTAGAAAGGAATGTCCAGATTACTAAGACCTGTTGACTTCAGTCCCATCAACTAATACACCATATCCTACCTCCTGACAAACAAGTGAGGATGTCTCCCTGTTACGAACTCATTAGTGTTCATTATTTATTTCCACAACAGTTGTAGCACAAAGTCACTAGACTCATAACAGACAGATTATGACTGAGCTTATCCTTCACTAGGTAGAGAAGAGAACGGCAGCAACAGTTGCAGTACACATTCACAAGACTTACCACAGACAGACTATGACTAAGCTCATCCTTCACTGAGTAGAGAAGAGATATGTAGCAACAGTTGTAGTACAAAGTCAGTAAACTTACCACAGACAGATTACGGCTGAGCTCATCCTTCACCAGGTAGAGAAGAGAACTGTAGCAACTGATCTGATCTGCTGCTGTCTCCAGGGCAACAATCAACAAACTCAGTCCCATATGGATCATCACATCTGTGTTGTGTCGGTCAAGAGGATTGGTCAGTGACACCAGAAACCGGAACAGCTCCCGCACACAGGGCAGTCCATAAGGGATCAGTTGGACAGGGCCTACTGCAAAATGTCACAAGAAAGTTTTGGTTTTCAAACAATTTTCTGGAACAAAACAATAATACTCTATGACCACGGATATCAAGTTTTAGATCTTCTGATATGGTGGACCATGGAATAATAAGGGTGGTTGGAAATAAGATTCTGGTTAAAATATGTACATGGATGGAATTTTAGCACAGTGTGATCTTTAGACTCTATCTTAGGTTACAAAGTAGTAGTAAAAGCTTTTAATACTCTGTTAATGGCCTATGCATTATAAATAAAAACTGTGAACACTTAATATTTTTATCTGAAAATTTGGAGTTGAGTTGCAATAAGAACCAATATCAAAGCACTCTGTACATTCAAATCAGTGCTCCATCTTCAGAAGCCAGTGCAGAGTTCTAACACCAATGGTGTTAGCAGAAGCCTCATATATGTTTGCCTTGTTTTTCTCCTGAACATCGAGTGCATTTGGTACTGATTCTTCTTCTTCTTCTTCTTCTTCTTAGCAATCACCGGCTGTTAACTCCAAAGGAAAGTTCTTGCTGATCACTGGCATCTGGGCTTTAGTCTTGTTCTGGAAGCTTAAGTTTTGTATGCACTTCCATTTCACAGATCTGGCTTAATTGTATGCATACTGTTGGCTCCTCACCTCTCAGGTAGTTGCATTATGACTTCAATGGAAACATCCATCCTGACATCTACATTAGTCTGCTTTTATGATATGTTTGTTGGGGGGAGGGGTGGGGTCTATTCTTTTTTCCCCACCACCAACATGGTTTCCCAGAACCCACACAGCGGTGGTAATGAAAAACCACACAGGGGTGGTAATGAATAACCACACAGGGGTGGTAATCAATAACCACACAGGGGTGGTAATCAATAACCACACAGGGGTGGTAATCAATAACCACACAGGGGTGGTAATGAATAACCACACAGGGGTGGTAATGAATAACCACACAGGGGTGGTAATGAATAACCACACAGGGGTGGTAATGAATAACCACACAGGGGTGGTAATGAATAACACAGGTACTAGACAATTTTCTGAGAAAGAAAGATGCCAAGCATGATAATGACATCACCCATCAAAAACTTTTTTGTGTGTTAAAATTGTCACACTGTTACCAGGTTGTGATTTTCTGTACCTGTCTTGCACTTCTCCAGCGGCTTGACTGAAGAATTTGTTCATTTCTTTTGCAGGATCCAAAACACAACCTATCCATACTTTCTTGGTCTTCCTCTCCCCTTCTGGTCAGAAGTTCTACTGAAGAGGGTTTCATATACAGTCTGGTCTGGCTTATTAGATGGCTAAACCACTTCTTTCTCTTTCAATCTAATTTAGGCTAGTTCTCATCAAGCACCTCTTCTTCTTCTTCTTCTTAATGTAGATGCCATATGGCATTGGTAGTCATGACTTATCCACAAGCTTCTGTCTCTTGTACTTTCAATCAATTCTGACACAGACGATTTTCCATAGTCCACGCCGTGGGCCTTGGTAGTCATGTCTTATCCACAAGCTTCTGTCTCATGTACTTTTCAATAAATTCTGACACAGATGATTTTTCATAGTCCATGCCATGTGGTGTTGTTGGTAATCATGTCTATCCACAACATTCTGTCTCATGTACCTCCAATCAATTATGACACAGATGATCGTCTATAGTCCACACCGTGTGGTGTTGGTAATCATGTCTATCCACAACCTTCTGCCTCATGTACCTCCAATCAATTATGACACAGATGATCGTCTATAGTCCACACCGTGTGGCGTTGGTAATGTCTATCCACAACCTTCTGCCTCATGTACTTCCAATCAATTCTGACATGGATGATCTTCCAGGAGCCCATGCCGTGTGGCGCTGGTGGTCATGTCTATCCACAACCTTCTTTCTCATGTACTTTCAGTCAACTCTTGACACAGACGATCATCCATGCCATGATGTCAAACTGTCTAGCATTTTCTCTCTTGGTCTCTCTCTGCCTCTTTTCCTCTCCAACTTTCCCACAGTCAAATGTACTTCAATTTTCTTCTTCTCATCATTTGAATCAAAAACCTCCTGATCTAAAAATATAGGGTTAGCATCATATACTCCATATGCCTTATAGTAAGAAATGTGGTCTTCTAGGTTCTTTTTTCTCTCTCTCAAACTACATACTGGTGTTTACCTTCATAAGCATGCGGCTGCTGCTGTAAGAAGCGAACCCCTTTTGGATTGATGAACTCACTCTCCTGGGTGGAGGTGGTATCAGTGGAGTGCACCGACTCGTTGTCATCGCATATCTCCTGCTCACTGGCATACAGATCTGTTTCACTGTGTGCTTTCTGGCAGACAAATACACGTGACATGCAATTATTTCAACATATCCACAGTAGAAAAACGAATCTGTTACTTTTTTTGGGGGGGGTTCCCGTAATCATGTAAGTCACAGCAGAACCATAATCAGGGGCCCACCACCAGAGTCAACAGTGGGTGGAGGGGGGTTTAGCCCTATTTTAATTTATAATTTTTATAGTAGTGGGCTTTGGATGTTCGTCCACCTCCTTGCTGTATTCTTGTTTAAGAACCTAAGTGTTGCGTGCATATTTTCCACATCCGCCTTATTGTGTAAATACTCTTGGTTCCAAAGAGGTTTAAGCCTTGTATAAGTGCAATAATAATAAAAATTATTACTATTAATAATATTATCATCAGCCTTAATAGTGTGTGCTAAATGCCAAGTAAATAGATCTAAAATAACATGAAGTGCATAAATACTTAAATGAGAATGCCTCAGACAGGTGTGGGTGCATGTTCCAATGTTTTACTGCTGACAACAGTGGAAGTGAATATGCCCTGTATGAGATGTTTCTTTGTGCTAACTGGGAGTGTCTTTTGATAGGAGACAGGAGACAGAGGGAGACTACCTCCAAGCCGTAAATACTGCAGCAGATATTAATTTCCTCCTCCAATTTGCTATCTTCGGTAAATGGTGTTTCCAGATATTGTACAATGCAGTTACTTTTGCTCTCTGAATGAGTTGAGTTTGGTCAAGAACTGACATCACAGCACTTGGGGCATTCCCATGCATGCTCTGTCCTCATCTTCAGTAGCCAGCGCAAAGTTCCCAAACCGATGGTACCGGTCACAATCTGGTTATATGTCCGTTTTAACTTTACTCTTGAGTGCAGTGAGCCAGCCAGACTCACTGGTTACACCCAAGTGCCCCATTCTCTCCAGGCCATAATAATCTTCTATCTCTACTGATTCCGTTGCTTGTTCCCAAAGGGCTCTGACCACATCTGCCTTGTCATGTAGCAATTTACCACCCAGTGGTGCAGATCCAGCCAATCTGTCTGCCTGTTCTTTACCCTACACGCCATGCATGGCCTGGAAAAAGATCCAAAATATGGTCACTACCCGTGACCTTGCTCTCTGAAATCATTGCAAAGTATTTTTGCAGCATAAAAATTATATTTTAATGTGAAAAATAGTGGTGAAAATGAACTATCGTTGTGAAATCCAACAAAGATACAATAAAGCCAATCAAGTTTTAGGCCAAATGGCACCAATTTTGAAATGCAAGCAATGTGAACATGAAACAGTGTTTAACACAATATTTTTACCAACACTATGCTATCAATGCCAAACAGGGACACTGTCTCCAGAAGACAGAAAGGAAAATAGTCAGGACAGAAATGAAATGTTTACGTACTATGCTAGGTGTAATGAGGAAAGATCGACTCAGGAACGATGATATCAGGAGGAGAGTCGGTACAGAATCAATAATGAAACTTTTTATGTGGACAACAAATCAGACAGTTTGACCATGTAACAAGATTGGCATCAGACAGGGCACCACAGAGAGCAATGTTATACAGACACAATGGTAACAGATCCAGAGGTCGACCACGCAGAAGATGGACCGCAGAAAAATCAGAGGTACTGAAAATTACTTTATACAAAGTGAACAGAAGGACCTGTTCCAGAGATCTCTTCCTGCCCTGATGCCACCAGGGCATTCCAGGAGTAGAGAAAAGAAGAAGAATGTGAAACTGAAAACCTTAAAAACAAGCCATGAAAAAAAATATGGTAAACATGAACTATCAATGCGGAACTGTAAATTTATTTTCAAATATCATGAAAAAATCTCGGTAAATATGAACCATAAACATCTAAATGAAAAAAAAAAGTGCATGAAAATAGCAATGAATTTTTTTTTTAAGGGGTTACAGTTGAGAGGACTGTCTTCAATGCACAGGGTTTCATCCCAGATAACTTGGTCTCGATTCACAGAGCGGCTAGCTGCCTACCGAGGGTGTCACATAAAGCATAAACTCCAAAGCTCTGGCAACAATCCCCAGGGATCTCCATAAAAACTGCACTTGTGAAGTGAATGGCACAGCTGTGAGATGAACCCACAACCTTCAGAACGCGAAGCAAATGGCTTGACCCCTTCAAATGGCTTGACCACTACACCACGGAGATGAATTATCAAGAAAACTGAAAAATTAAATCTTAAAAGTGCCATAAAGAAAATACTGAAGAATATGAACTATAAAAATCAGTTTTAAATATTGGATGAATAAAAACTATAAAAATCCTTTTAAAATATGGATGAATATGAACTATAAAAATCATTTTAAAATATTGGATGAATATGAACTATTAGTGTGAAACTGAAAACCTTACTCTCATCAAAGCTGGGTCTACCCCTAGGGATGTGCTTGATGTCGTCAGAACTTCCTGAGCATCTACATTCTCAATGCTGTCTTTTTGATCATTGCTTTTCAAAGCTTCTGCAGCTGCCTCCTCATTGACTACAATTGACACTGGTTCTTCTTTTGATGATTCTGCATCCGAGGCCACCTGAATGGGACACAGTAAGTACAGTAGCTACCAATGACTCGTAACTTGAAAAAAAAATTGGAACAAGTATACCATGGTGGATATCAATGTGAAGAGTAAGGTAATTCCATAGCAGGTTAGAACAAGAATTCTAGCACGCTATTCAGAGGCAGATTTAACATATAGCTTTGTATCCTGGACAATTAATAAACAAGCCAAACAATTTCTTGACACCTCAGAAATGTGGATTTTACAGAATTCCTTTGACAGCCAAAAACAAAAGAGCTACCCTGAAATATATGTGCATGCTAAACAGAGGTTGTTTTAAAATAAGACTGGGAATCCTGGACAATTAATAAAAAAGCCAAACAATTTCTTGAGGCCTCCAAAATGTTGTTTTACAAAAGAATTCTAAGAATTCAATGGACAGCCAAACAAAAAGAGCAACCCAGATGTTTTGAAAGAGATGAGGGCTCGAAGACAACTTAAAGCAAACATCAGAAACAGTGGCTCTCCTGTCAACTACGGCCGGTAGACAACAGTAGACGGCCGGTTAGTCAGAGTTCTGTCCCTTGGCTACAGAGCAATTACGGACTGGAGAAGGCACGAATCAGACCACAAAGTGAGGTCGACATGCCTAGCAGACCCCGCGCTGCAACTCAAATCAGCGACCGCGATCAATTACCGCGTCTTGCGACGCATTATGGAGTAGATTAGAGGGAACGATACAATTGACAGAATTACTGTGTGTTGGCGATAGACAGCGCTCAGTGCCCTACTGTCATCATACGGTGTGGGTTTGGGTTAGGGTGTGGGTTAGGGTTAGGGTTAGGGGTAGGGTTTGGGTTAGGTTTAGGGTTAGGGTTTGGGTTGCTACTTTGAGTTTGTGTGACGACGAGATGCGGCGACACTACCCGTAACCCTAACCCACACCCTAACACTAAACCTAACCCACACCCTACCCCACCCTAACCCAAACCCTAAACCTAACCCACACCCTACCCCTAACTGTAACCCAAACCCTACACCAAACTCTAACCGTATGATTATAGCAGGGCAGTGCACGCTGTCTATCGCCAACACACAGTAATTATGTCATTTGTTTCGTTTCCTCCTGTCCAGTCCGTAATAGCACTGCAGCCAGGGGACAGAACTCCGACTAACCGGCCGTCTACTGTTGTCTACCGGCCGTAGTTTACAGGAGAGCTGAAACAGTCGTAATTTTGTTAGGTTATATTTAAAGAAGAAAACTGGAACATGTTGGAAAGATCTGTGTAAAAACGACAGAGGAAGAAGATTCCTGACTACCCTTTGTCATGGCATGGAGGGACGTTAGATAGCACACAAATTGCTGATGAATATCGCAGACTGGGCAGAGGCATGATCACCCCAGACCTTTAACATACAGTAGTTTATTAATTCTAGTCAATGAATAAATCAATTAACAGGGCATTTAATTTCTCATACAAACTCAGAATTACATTACTTACACACAAAAAGCAACAACGACATACCTCAAAAGTCTTGGCTATATCTATAACATTGTTATCTTTCCCACAGCCCGGTGTTGTGGCCAGACACTCTGAGACAATGTGCTCAAACACTGAGCTTTCCATAGTTGGTGGTTTATCATCTTCTGCGGGACCCAATTCTACAGTTTCTGCGGTCTCAGCAATGGTTGGCTGTGACTGAGGTGAATCGGTTGACGCTTGTGATGGCCCATGGGATCTCTTGCTCTTCGTTTTTGGAGATTTCCTTCGTTTCCCCATGCGGGCAGGATCCACACCACCAGTTCGCATTTTCAGCTTTAAATATGTTTTAGAAAAAGTGTCAGGTGTTACAAAGCGAATCAAAAGTATATATACATATTAAAATATATGCAGTATAATACTCTACATTATGGAGGGAAATGATGGATGTTATATAAAACATGAAACTTTGTTCATTTTAGGTGGGAGTACATGCCTGAGATTACAACATGAGCCTAGATGGTGCTGGCGAAAATGCAGCAGCAAGTTTCAGTCATAGTATGGCTGATTGCCAACCATGACTGTGAGGCTATGAAACTAGTGAGACAAAATTTTAAGGTAATATTGCTCCGATCAGCTGTGGGTAAGTAGAGAGGGCTGCTAACAATAAGAAGCAGTTTGGATAACTACTTTTCCAGGGTCTAATTTCAATAGCCAACTGTACACCCAGTAGTTTGGCATTGCTTTCTGGGCTGTACGGAGCGAATACTATTGACAATATCAATGCAAGGTGATCTGTTACAAAACTGCTTGCAACCAACTTCAAATTCTAGTATGTTAAATAATAAAACATACTGTGAATTCTGTTGTACCTCAGAACAGGACAGATGTGACTTCATTGTCATCATCATGTGCCCTGTCAACTGGCATGGGCGCTCATGCATCACAGATCACGATCCCTGGTTGCCTGGAACAGATCTCTTGATGATATCCCTACATGCCATCCTTTCAGCACATCCAACATCATCTCTCTTGGTCTGCCTCTACCCCTTTCTCCACTGATCTTTCCAGTTGTCACGATGTTCTCCAATGTCTCTCTTCTCATTCTGTGGCCAAAGAACGGTGTTTGTCTCTTTCTTATTGTTGTATATAAAGATCTACTTTCATTAGCTTCTTTCAAGCAATTGTTGTTAGTTACTCTGGCCGTCCAATATCATAGGTCTACAAAGTAGCCTGACACTCCAGACAGCAATCAAATAAGTCAATGTCGGGCAAATCTTCTGGTCTGGTGAAACAACACTGAAAGTAAAACTCTAAAGTCCATTGAGTAAACTAAACAAGAGACAGTGAACGTGATATAAGAGACAATATTACTGACACAAGCAACTAATTGCAAGCAAACAAAAGAAAAATGTTAAGGTTCTGTAAGAAATTATGTCCTGGCATACACAACTTAACATTTTTCTGCCCAAAACATTTGGTTGTGCGTGATAATCAGCAGATTCATATGACTGGTGCTGCGGCTCCTTGGACTCCGAGCTGCTCTGTGATAAGCTGAACAAGGTGAAAGCTCTCTAGGATCATGTGTATAGTGCAACAGATCAGATAGAATAGCCATACGTTGAGAGAGGGGTTTAGTATATGGTGAGCAGAGAGTCCAGATGGTGCCCAAAAATGCAGGGGAAAAGACAGGTGATCCTTTAATCAGGTTGCAATAGGCCCCATCAGTGCAGGAACTCTATGTTGGCTACTGAGGAAGGAAATGCGTGGAAATGTCCCGAGTTCAGGGTCGGCCTACATTGCTAGAGGTCCCGCGTTCAATCCCCCGGTGAAGGCTGGAAATTTTTTTACGAAGACTTCTAGTGATTTCCCCTGGTTTCTGGGTAGTAAGATCAGACACCCACGTGTATTGTTGCACACGTAAAAAAATCCCTTGGCAGTTGGAAATCTAAAAAGTGTAGCCTTACAGTGCTGCCCGGGCACAATTTTGAGTTTAAAATGTACCCAAGGTGATTCAGGATCCTCGCTACAGAGTTAGTGCACTGCACTAAGATTCTTCAGACTCGGGCTTGAGTCAGAAGTAGAATGGAGCTCTTATGGGTTACTACCCTTGTGCTATGATGTTGATCCGTCGTCTAAACCTAAACCTGTCCCGAGTGAAGGGATATACATTCTTAATTTATTCATTCATTTATAGTAATTAATAAAAATGAGCCTACTGCAAGATGCCCAACAATAAATATTTTAGCACACCTTTTGGTGCTTTCTTAATATCCTACCCCAAACAGGGAAAATCCACAGGTCAGGTGACAGTCTAATATTTCAGGAGGTGGTAGATAGGCTGCATGCAGTCATGGGACCTAGGCTGCACTCTCTCGTGGGACGTAGGTGGGTTGAGGTTAGGGCCAGTTCTAGATGTTTTGGGGGTTAAAAGCATTAGAAAGCTGGGAAACCCAGTCTTATCACCCTCTAAAATGTTGGACTGTCATGTGATGTCACCTGGGGTAGGATACTGTGAAAGAACCCACCTTTTTATTTATATTTGTGATCCACTTTGGATCTTCCTTGAACATTGGTAATCTTGTGAACAGAAGATGAACCATGTCTCTCAAGGTATTCTCTGCTGACTTTCTTAACAACTCTGAAAACAATTTCAGAACCATAATTATTCTTATGTAAATGACAGAAAAAATGTCAGCCATCATTCTACAAAAATATTTAAATTCACTCTCAACTTCGACTGGGAGCCACAGTAGCTAGGCAGCTAGATAATTGCCTGCCACCTAATGGTCTATGGTTCAAATACGCATCAAAGCAAATTTGTTTTCAATGCCGACTTTGACTCCCATCTCAAACCAGCCTAAAATGGGTAACAGGCAATGTCCTGGGAAGTAAAGGTGGCTGGTGTGAGACTGACCCCCATTGAGTGCCGACTGGTCTATGAAAACACAGGGCTAGGACTATATGCCTGATGCACCAAAGGCAAGAAAAGGGTCCTTTACCTTTGTTACTTCAGATTTAATCAATGAACTAACAGAAGAAAGATGTTTTAATGTTATTTTCAGTTGTTCAAACACACAGATATAAACAGAGGAGGTCTCCCCTGTGAACTGGTCAACCCATTTGGCTAACACTCCGGCAGTCATTTAGCTCATCAATGCAATTTTATCAGAAATCCCTAGGGAGCAGGTATCATCACTAGGGCTACAGAGTCTGTGCTGTGTATGATCAGGTAATCACATCACAGTTGCAACTTCATAGCAAATGGTCCCCCCCCCCCCCCCCCCTTTTTCAAAGTTGCTCAGTTGCTGTGCCAATGAAAATCACATAGAAAAATTGAACAACAAATTACAATCTTAGCAATAGTGAGTTATTTTAGCTAGCTGACAGATTAACTTCACTGCACACGGGACAAGTCCATAAGCACCCGGATCCCATCTTCAGTATAACCCCCAACGTGTGGGGGCTGATAACACCAGTTCTGTGTAGGTATACTATTTATTATTCTTTGGCTACCTGCATAGTGTTCATGTCTGGCGACACCTCTTTTTGACCTGGTTCTTGCAGTCTTTTAAGTGTTGCCGACTCCCAGTCTTAGCAATGTCAATATCGATGCTGTGTGTGTTATTCTTGGTAAGCAGGTCCCTCTCTGTCAAGAGATACCAAGCTAGATGGGACCAACTAGGGTGTCATGAAGTCGATACTTTCATGATAATAAACTTTCATATGGTGCCACAAAACCGATCCTTTCACCGACAATAAACTTTGCTATGGTGCTAGGAAGCCGATCCTCTCACTGACAATAAACTTTGCTATCATGCCACCACGTCGGGCTGTATACTGGTCCTGACAACTGAATCACGGTACATTTTGGAGGAGTCCCCTCGAAAATAGGTTACTGGAAGCGTTTCCATGTTGCATTGTGTGACATTTTAATATGCTTACAAAGTCCTGTATTCGTATTACAAATCTACAAGCGGATATTGTGAAGTGGATATACAGCAATTTTAATTTTAATTCACGGAAGAAAGTCATGTTGTGATGTGTGTGTCACTGTTTCTAGTCAGTAGTCTGGACTTTTGGGAACTGGCTGTTTATTCTTTTTCTACTTTGAATGTAGAAATCAAATTGTGAATAAATTGTGTCAAGATATTTCGGAGCTCTGGGTAAGTGCATAAAAACTATATTTTATTTACTAAATAACCTCTCACAGCAAGTCACTTTTTGCCTCTTTACTAATTGTTGACTAACAGTATAATTATGTGTTGTAGAAGTACAATAATAATTTTAATCCTTAACCATTTGACTGATGTTTCGCAAACACTGGCTGTAAACTCTTGCGGAAACTTCTGGTTGTTCATCCGTCTTCTTATGCATATTTGCAGTTGTACGGTCTGTGTTAATTTTTGTAAATTGGCTTTTGCTTCATGAACACTGGCTGTAAACTCTTGCGGAAACTTCTGGTTGTTTATCCGTCTTCTTATGCATATTTGCAGTTGTAAGGTCTGTGTTAATTTTTGTAAATTGTCTTTTGCTTCGCGAACACTGGCTGTAAACTCTTGCGGAAACTTCTGGTTGTTCATCTTATTCTGGGCTTTATTTAGTCTTGTTCCAGAAAGTTTTGAACAACGAGATCCGGTATCTATGTGGGGATTTTTGTGTTTGATATGTGTATGTTGCCCAGCAATTTGCAGTTATATGGTCTTTTTTAATTTGCTAATACCTTTAAAATAATATACCACTCATGATACTTATACGTGTTGTTGCATGCAGTAATTAGAAATATGTGTGATGTATTTTTAAACAGTTACCAAAAAAATTGCAATGAAAAGGAATTGATTTCATCCAACAAGATGAAACTGGACACATTTGTTTGTGCTGTTTGTACCTTGAGGATACATATTTAGTAGTGCTATAAGTACTGTTAAGAAAACTACTCTAGGTGAAACAAGTATTGCACATATCAATTTCATACTGATTTTGCTTGTTTACTAATTATTAAATAACAGTATAATTATATGTTGTAGTAGTCTACTAATAATAATAACCATCAATCATTTATATTTATGTTATGTATGACATGTGTATGTTTCATAGCAGTATTTTTATGCGCTAAATTTAATAGAGTAAAAATGTCCCTCCCCCCCTCTCCCCGCCCCGCCGGCTCCTCTGATGCAACAATACCCTCTCAGAATCAAAGTTAGCACTGATATTTCTTTACTTTTGCTGGAACAACTTTTAGTTTATATCTAAACGTTATTGATGTTTATGCTCATGTTGACTGTAGCAAAGGCATTTTTGTTTGTCTGTAAGAGCCTTTATTGTTATATTTAATTGGCACACTTATTTACCTTAAAAATGACGTATAGTTCTATAAAATATGTCGAAAATTATTGAAACTGTAGTTTAATTTGTGTATACATATCCTGGAGAAAAACTGTGGACGCAGAGGGACTCAATTCTTGCACAAGAACGGGAATCCCTGTTGACCTGTTTGGCCTATAAATAGAGAAGGCCGTGGGTGCCACGAAGCCGATCCTCTCACCAACAATAAACTTTGCTATGGTGCCACGAAGCCGATCCTCTCACCAACAATAAACTTTGCTATGGTGCCACGAAGCCGATCCCTCACCGACAATAAACTTTGTTATGGTGCCACGAAGCCGATCCTCTCACCCATAAACTTTCAGAAATAGCCCAGCTGTAGCAGAACAGTATAGTTTGTCTACAATTTGCACCAAAAGAAGCAAATTTCAGATATCCTTGTTCAACCACATTAAGTAGTTATAAAAACAACATTAAAAAACCTAGCACTCTGGGGTTGAGGGTTCGCTTCATGGCTGTGTTGTTCAGTTCACGAGTACAATATTTACAGAGATCCCCCCCCCAGGGGTTGTCACCAGAGCTATGGAGTTTGCACCCGGTACAGTGCTCTCAGCAGGCGGCGAGCTATTTGTTGGAGAGAGACCAAGCCATATGGGATTAAACCCGATGCACTGAGGTCGATCCTCTCAATTGTAACCTCTTGTCCTATAGGTTTGGCTTATTTATTTCTTTATTAGTTTGCCTGCTATGAATGAAGTAGCTTGCTGTATCTGGTTGTTTTTGTCCTAATTCTTTATCTCTTACTCTGTGATATCAGCAGTTATGTTTTAAATATCTCATTAAAAACTAAAAGTATGACATTTTATTTTTTATTTTATAGGAGGAAAAATATGCTCACACAATAAAACATCAAATATCTTCTTTTTCTTTGTGCTCACAAACTGTAAACTCTGGTGGAAAGTTCTGGTTGTTCATCCACTTCTGGGATTTGGTCTCGCTCCAGAACTTGAGTTTTGTGTGCACATTAGTTTCATAGATTTTGCTTACTCGAATGCACACTGCTGACTAATCACCTCTCAGGTAGATGCACTCCAACTTCAAAGGAAACACCCCTTTTATGACACGCTTGTTTGGGGAGGGGGCTGTATCTATTCTTTTTCCGTCAAAATGAAGCATCGAAAACCACACATATAAACTTGACAGTCTAAACGATCAATTTCACTGTGCCAGATTTATCCCATATGGCTTCGTCTCTCGCCACAGAACAGCTAGCCCCGTTGAGAATATTGCACAAAGTATGAACTCCATAGCTTCAGCTATGATCCCCAGGGAAATGAATAGCAAAGACCATGATATAAAACCCCATGATTTTTTAGAGTAAAAGGTAAATGGCTGAACCTATTACACAGAAAATGCAGCATTTATACAGAAATGCTTATTCAAAGCTATAATTTAAAAGGCATATGAGTTAGCTAATCTCTCAAACTTCTTCCCTGTCTAAATCCTTGTTCTTTTTCCCAACAGACTGACGGACAGAGCAGAGCAGACAGACACACACAATATTCATGTATCTACAAATGACATCATGACAGAAAATACACATACCACTCAGTTTCATCTCAAAGCAAATTCTGAAACAGGACTGCATGATCTCACACACAGACTCATTTGTGAGAAGAACTCCAGGTGGGCAGAGCAGCAGAGTACGTAAAACCTGTAAACGTATTCACACAGAATATGTGTGAGTACACACAGCCGTACAAGCATGGTATTAATCCATCAACATGACTTCAGTAGTTGCATTTTCTTCACAGGATGTCACCAGCTTACCCCAGCATTTGTCGCCAGTTTGATATCTGACTAGGCAATTTGAGGTCTATTATTTTGCATTGCTTTCTAGATGCTTATACCACAGCTGATACCAACGCAAAGCATTCTGCTACCAAACTGCCTGCAGCTGAATCTAACCCAGTTCTTCTGCTTGTGACTATAACATAATCCTATGGGTCAAAGGCTTGATGGAAGTGTTGGTTAGCTTATTGAAACACATTGGGAACATGACCAAGTTCCAATTCCTGAGTCTAATGTAAGAAAACAAAAAAAAAACTAAAGGACCCTTTTCCATGCCTTTAGGTGTATTGGGCACATAGAGCTCTACCTATATTTTACAGACCAATCGGCACTCTGTGAGTGATGCAGTCAACATCATGTAGGCTGCTTTTAATTCCAGGGAGTACACCTGGTACCCACTCAAGGCTGGGTCGATCTGGTAGCCGAGGTCATTTTGAGTCTGACGTACTGATATTCAAGTCACTTTGACCCTGAAAAAGATTTGCAACACTGTCCTCCTATTCAGAAATGATTGGCATTGAGACTTTCCACCTGACCCACTATTTAAGTTTTTGTTGTTGTTTGTTAGTAAAGCCTTTGCATGTCCACTCATTAATCTTACCGTCATAAGTAAAGTAAAAAGTAAAGGACCCTTTTCCAAGCCTTTAGGCGTATAGGGCATATAGGGCTAGACCTATATTTTATAGACCAATCGGCACAAGATGGGTGATGTGGTCATCATCATACCAGCCACCTTTACTTCCCAGGACTGCACCCGGTACCCACTCAAGGCTGGGTCGACCTGGCAGCCAAGGTCTTTTTTTTTTCTTTTTAAATTTGGCTCTGCCAGGGAGTGAAACCAGGACCTTCTGATCCGCAGGTGAGCGTCTAACCGCTCCGCCATGGTGACCCCTCTTACAGTCATAAAATGTATTTATTCTGCTGAACAGCTTTACAAGTTCCCTGGAAGATGTTATTTGTTACTGTTTGTGAATCATCTGGAAGTTAGTTCCTTCAAGGTCAGAGCGTATCTGTCTAAGAGGCAAGGAACCAAAAGTCTACATACAAATAGACTACATCTGTAAAACAGATAAGTAGAACATAGAACACAGAACTCAAGTTCTAGAACAAGACCAAAGTCATCAAGTGCACAAACAACCAGAACTTTCAGCCAGAGTTTACAGCCAGTCAGCCTCAGAAAAAGCAGATCTGGATATCTGCGTTTTAACTTTTAACTCCGAAGTATCGGGTCCAGGGAGCCTGAGCTCTGAAAAGGATTTGCATTTATCAGATTGAGTCTGGTTTTGAGACTTTCCTCTTAACTTGTATCATGGTAAATCTATATGGGAGCTGCGTTGCATAATTCTCATTCACCTCTCTGAAGAGGATAGGCTCAGAAAACCGAGGGAGTGCAAGTTCGGCATAGAAACTTCCTATCTGCAAACAGCCTCATAGGATGCAATTAGAGTGATATTCAACTGTTTACTGTGACACACCCTCCAGCCCTGGCTGTTTATAGAAAATATAATCATACTGGTCTTCTTAAAGACTGTGCAGGAAAAAACAGTACTTATGTCAGTACTAAGCTTGCCAGGGACTGGCCAATTTAGCAATGTCAGTTCAACAGCTTCACAGTGATTTATAACAGACAGTTTTGGCCAGATTAGGGGTTCTACGGGCCAAAGGGTTAAGTATTTCACTGTATACTGATTTCAACTCACAGTCCAAATGGAATCACAAGAGGTGTTTCACCCTAACCTACAAATGGCTAATAGGAAGCGTAAATGTGGCTGGTAGAATTATAAAGGCCATATCATGCAGTGAGTGCCATTTGGTCAACAAACATATGCATCTAGCACCATCCTGCCCAATTCACCTGAAAACATGGAAAATGGGCCTTGACTTTCTTTATCTTTATTATTTCAGATACTCACGTAAAGTATTTTCATAAGAATAACTTCGTCAGAAGAAGGATCTGTGCCCACAAATCTAGCATGTGTCACAGCATCTGCTATATTCTCAATTGCTGCAGCAGCCATGTCACCAGATGGATCTGAGGAGGACATTTTGTCAGGAGGAAAATATCAGTCCAAATGAGAAGTAGAACTAGCCATTTAAAATATCCCTAATGACAAAATTAATGCTGCAGCAAGAAAGCCTTCGCCAGCAAACAGCAAAAACTGACAATGATACAATTATAAACAAGAAAACACTAAATTACTTATGAGGAGCAAGCTAGTTACAAATCTCAAAACCAGAAAATCTTTAGAGTTAACAATTAAGAAAGCAATAGTAAACTCCTGAATGTAATCTGGTAATCTTAGTTTCAGCTTCATAGCAAACGGGTCATCCCATAGTTGCTCCGCTCCTGTGCCAACAAAAAACACACAAAATGTTTATCACAGACCCTAGTGGAAAGATTGACAGACTGCTGTCTCAGCATATGCACTAGAATACACATGCATTAAAAGCATACTGTAGCCATCCAAAGTGCTAACACAAACAGTCCGACATTAGAAATGCAGTTCATCATGGATGGTAGCACTAGTGACTAGCAGAAGTCACCAACAGATCAGCAGTTACACACATGATCAATTTCAATCACATAATGGCACCACTAATATTGGGACAATCGGCATCGCACCATTTTCTGAATCTACAGTTCACACCACCATGTTGGTCACAGTTGAAAAACATTCCAAATGAAATCCGCAGCTCACGGTGTCACGCCTTGCACTCAACTCAGAAGCTGGGCAACAAAACTATATCCTTCCAGTCTACAAATGGAGCAAAAATGCAATGGCCACTGTCTGGCGGAAGCACACAAAAATTTGCCACGGCTCGAAAAAAGTGGCCATGCCTAGCATCCATTTTGACCTGAAGCATTATGTGAGGGTTAATAAACGGTCACCCCAGCAGTACCCTTGCTATTAGTTGGGGAAGGGACTTAGGAAATAACATCCACCAGCAAGTGTCGCCCCTACAACAACCTGACTGCCTTCATTAATGACTGTTCACTCAACAGCCATGCAGTTCTTTATCACGAAGAGGAGACATATTGAACTCCTGAATGCAAAATTGCCCAGTAAAATAAAAAATGGCTTTAAAAAAAAGTGCTGGAGTTGGTACATGGGACAAACAACTAACTTAACTATCACCTTCTATAAACAGCAATTTTTAGAAACAGGACAGATCAAAGAAATTGTTTTAATATTAAACAAATTCTCCACCATTTAATGACCTTACATTTTCTGTCCATTCTAACAAATAGTCTGTTTTTCATATCTACTTTATACTAGACAGCTGCTATATTAATCCAGTCTGTACATTATTAGAAGCTGCAGTATCGCAGTGGCTAGATGATGCCTGTTGACCTGAATGTCTTAGGTTTGAATCCACACTGAGATGGATTTTAAAAATTTACAGCTCCCAGGTCAACCCAGCTAAAAATTAGTGCCAGATACCCATATGCATATACCTACACATAACAGTCACAACAACTAGGCATAACAATTTGTGTGGAGAAGATTTAAACAAAAAAGGAGAATAATCAAGAAACAGCTAACAAACTCCTTAAGTGAAACCTCCCATCAAGATGTAAAATGATACACAGATTTAGGCAGCAGTGAATGAAGACAACAGAGAGGGAAAAGACAGAGAAATAACTAATAACACAAAGCTTTTACCATTTATCAAAATTGTACTACACAAAAAACAGTGACGTCCTTTCTAAAGATCCTTCAACATGGGAAAATATCCAGGCATACAGCATAGATCTACAGCCTAACTATACAGTCACAACAACAATTCCAGGCATAGACAGAAAGGGTGAAGAATGTGATCTAGTACTGCATGCAAAGACCCATGAATAAGTCTACAACTGTTATCCAAAACCTGAATGGACACAAATATACATCAAGATGGATCACTGGAAGGAGCAGAAAAAAACGGAGGAGCTGGATTAGTCATCATGCTGCAAGATGGGACCACAGTAGAAACATCATGCGCCTCCAGAAAACTCTCAACAAACTTCAGTGCAGAGCAGAAAGCAATTGTTGATTCAGCCAAAGTGCTTGAGGAAAGAAACTTTAAAAACAGCAAAACTATTTTCCTTTGTGACTGCATGTCAGTCCTCCAGGCGACTCAGAGGGATTCACGAGACAACAGGGAGAGAGAACAAGAATCAACAAGACAACAGAAGCTTTCACAGCATTAGGAAATATGTGGCAGTCAAGAAATTAAACCTAGTTCTAATCTAGGTGAGGCATGAGTGGACAAAGCGATTGCTGAAAGAAAAATGCAAACGGATAATTTGATACAAATTAATAACATATGATAAAATATAACATTTGATAAAATATAATATAATACAACACAATATAACATAACATGGCGTGACATCACAGGACAAAATATATTAAGTCAGAACTTACCTACAAGCCCATAAGACAAAAACTTGTTGACTGATGTCAAAGCTAAGCCAGTTATGGGACCTGTGGTGTCTTCAGAACGAATCACTTCCAAGAAAGGACTCAAAAATGCATTGGGTTCTATCTCACTGAGGTCTTTGGAATGGAAAAGAAGTTATAACAGTCTGAATGAACTATTCTCCATTATTACTCGAAAGTCCAAATTACAAACCAGCAAATCATAATAAAAAGCAGATGTAGAAAATGTGATGAGCTCTACAGTTCAAACATTCTAACTCCTTCTTCAGTGATCAGCATAAAAAGGGAGGATGCACAGATGCTTCAAAGTTTAACAAACCTAACTAAAAAAAAAAACACCTGCTAATTACTGTTTTATTATAGCAATTTTTGCGGTGTAGGCAGTGGGGGTCTTTGAGCCTGAGAATTTACGGCCGCATGGCTAGTGCTGTCGCCACGACAGTGCAGGTGAAGATTTTATTTTGCCCCCAACAACAAAAAATCCCCAGCCTTGCTGAGGATTCGAACCCAGGTCTCTTGCTTGAGGGCCCAGCGTTCTAACCGTTAGGCCAGCGGCTCTTCAACCTAACTGTAACCACTACATTTCTGATGTTGAATGCATACAAATAATACACTCTGATGTGTCTCCACCTTGGTGTAATAGATAAGCCTGTGAATTCCAATAACCTCAGGAGTTATGCCGATAGTAGCTTATCTACTGCTAGGGTATCCCATGTTGGTCAGTCAAGCGATCAGAGCCAGACATTATATACTGATCGACACAGTCCAACTCTTCTTTCTAGTGTTCATCAGCTGTAAACTCTGGTGGAAAGTTCTGGTTGTCATCCACTTCTGGACTTCAGTCTTGTTCCACAACTAAAGTTTTACATGCATATCCATTTTACAAATCTGGCTTGTTTGCATGCAGACCTATGGTTCCTCATCTCTCAAAGAGAGGGACTCGGATGGGAAAAACCCCTATTTAGTCACCTTTTATGACATGCTTGTTAGGGGACAGTGGGTCAAAGGCTAGGGAAAGCAAACTTAAACTAAAAATGCTTGTCGACATCACATGTACTGAGCCAAAGCCTTGGCAAAACAATGCAATGAAGCTCATTTCTTAATGACCTCACACACAAAAAGAGTTTAAAACAACGGCAAAATTACCTGTTATGCTGTTTAAGTATGTCTTTCAACTGGAAAAAAGAACTCTGTAGTATGTCTCCTTCATCTTCCTGCTACACGATAAACAAAAATTATATTTAACACCTACCGTCTAAGATGTAATGACAACAAGAAGAAGTAAAGAACCTGTTTCTACATATATTGAGATAACTGTGCCAGTTGCATGTTTGTACTGACCAATCAGGTTCATCAGATCAAATGATCCATATCACACCAACTGCCTATACTTTCCAAAACAAACACTACGTGGCTCATTTTGAGATGTAATTAACCTAGAATGTCAGATTAAATCTTAACACTTCCGTCTCTTAGGAATCTTAAAAAATAACTAGGTTTTTAAATCAAATTTTGTTAAAAAATGAATCCTTATAATTTTGTAAAACTCTACCCTAAGTAACTATAAAAAGAAGAGAAGATGCAGAAACAAATTTGGAGTCTTAGGCAGTTTTTACAAACATCCAGGGTGTCAAACCCCTAAACCACCGAGCTGATAAGCAGGTGTGAAATCATCTGCTTCTTTGATGACATCAAGACACTTTTAAAATAATTTGTTAAAACGTTTTTCTGGGTCACCAAATGTCTAAATTAGGAAAAGGTTCCTTTCTACATGAAGGGAAGTAATTACTAAATACAAATGGAGCAGAGAATTGACAAATTTCCTTCCCTTTATCTAAAAATAGTTTTGATCACTTTTCCTACAAACAGCAATGTGAAGAAATTATGAAATTATATAATGTTACTGTGTTATACAGGTCTAGTCACCACTGCTCAAAGACATTATGTCACTTTAAAAAAAAATGACAAGCCTAGATTTTAGCATTTATGCAGTGACAGGGTTAAATCTACTTTGAGAGGGAATTTAATATATGACCACTAAGTCAAGAGGCAAACAAGACTTCCACTGTGAAACCACATGATTCATTATCCAATCCTTACGTCCTTTTTAGGACGAAATTTTTTGTTATTTGAAGCCCCATCCTGGCTTTTGCCAGGGGCCGCAATATAGGCAGGCCATAAATATGGCCAATTGTCTGAACGCGGTTTCTGGGACCTCTCCACCGCGATCCTCATCCACACGGTGGCACTTTGGGTCATCGGGTGTTTATCGCTTGTGTGATGTCCTGGTGGGGTAGAAAGTCAGTCAGTCAGTCACTGTGAAAACACTGTGACATTTCGTCTCTTCATACAGTTTACCATACCAAAGCGCTGGGGGATAAAGGGATGTGAGGATCTACTGTGTGCTCTCTACAATGCGCTGTATGAATTGATCTTCATTTCGTTAAGGTTACTCTTGATGCCATTGTTCCATATTTTGAGTGGTCTTTTCCTAATTAAATTTCTACAGCGTGGCTCTCTGTTGCAAATGGTAACAGAGAATTTTCATCAGATGGCCAAACTATGTCATCCGGTGCTCTTTAATAAATTTTTTGACTGATTTCAAACCTCTCCTTTTTCTAATGTCTCCATTTTTAACTGTATCACTTCTTATTACTCTGGCAGTTATTACTCTAGCTCCCCATGTCAGTTCCGAGGGTCCCATTGTAGAGAATACAAGAATACACCAACTGCCTTCCCAACAAGCATGTCTTAACAGTTGACTAATTGGAAGCTTCCTTCAAAGTCAGAGTGCATCTGCCTGAGAGGCAAGGAACTAACAATCCACACACAAATAAGTCAAATCTGTAAAAGGGATGTGTATGCAACACTCAGGTTCTGAAACCAGAGGTGGTCGAACAGTAAAAACCTTCCACCCGGAGTTGCAGCCAGTAAATGTGAAGAAGAAAATATTACTCTGGCAGCTCTCCTAAGACACCTCATCCCTGTAATTAAGATTAGTCACTTACCAGTAACAATCTTCTCCTCCTTCAGGTTTCAGTAAGGGTCCATGTTTAACACCGGCAGCATAATTATCAACCCAAAAATTGTTGTATATAATGAAACTTTTGAGTTCAAAGATTCAGACTTACATGTCTACCGTGTCTTGAATGAGCACTGTAGCGTGACGTCCGTCTCATCGCTGTCACAAGCAGAGCGATTTCGCCCTGCACGATGTATATCCCATTGGTAAGCGCCATCTATACATGCAAAAACAACTTAACTTTTATTCCAGTGCAGAGATGAAGGAAATTACAGTATATGACAGACAGATGGGGTTTCCATGAGAAGATAAAATCAGCAATTCTAGATTACAACAAATGATTATAAAAATCTCACTCAATTTAGGTTTAGCCCAAGACATTTTGGCCAAGTAGGCACACGTCTAGCCATTGCACTGCATGACTCTCCAGCAGGGACAGTTAAAATCTGTACACTCCATGTCTTTGGAGCAGTCAGGGCTGACAAAGATAAGCTTCATTTGCGTGCTAGGCAGGCAGGTGTGCAAGAAAATGAGCAGGCTGATAGTCTTGCAGGTAATGCTAATGTATAGGGCAGACAAGCCATGGACCAGGCTGATACATGGAATGTTCTATGAAAAGACATTTGTGAGAACCAGGTGACAGTGAATCTGCAACCATGAACAGAGTCCAAGAACAGCAAGTTAAAAAGGGTGTGGCCAGACAACAGCACTAAGCAGGAAGACAAAGAAGAATGAGAAACCAACACAGAACTGTTGTCGTCAGCTGCTACACGCTGCCAAATTACATGTGCACTTATGGACTAAACAGTTCACTGTACAATGAGGATAATATGTCAACTAACAAACTATTTACTTCAAATGTTAACACAGACTGAGTGTTCACAGGCATGCTGGACATCACCTGTTAACTATTAACACAGACTGAGTGTTTACAGGCATGATGGACATCACCTCTGTTTACTGTTAAAACAGAGTGAGTGTTTACAGGCACGCTGGACATCAACTCTGTTAACACAGACTGAGTGTTTACAGGCATGCTGGACATCACCTCTGTTAACTATTAACACAGACTGAGTGTTCACAGGCATGATGGACATCACCTATGTTAACTGTTAACACAGACTGAGTGTTTACAGGCATGCTGGACATCACCTCTGTTAACTGTTTACACAAACTGAGTGTTTACAGGCATGCTGGACATCACCTCTGTTAACTGTTTACACAAACTGAGTGTTCACAGGCATGATGGACATCACCTCTGTTAACTGTTAACACAGACTGAGTGTTTACAGGCATGCTGGACATCACCTCTGTTAACTGTTTACACAAACTGAGTGTTTACAGGCATGATGGACATCACCTCTGTTAACTGTTTACACAAACTGAGTGTTCACAGGCATGATGGACATCACCTCTGTTAACTAATAATCAGTTACACAAAATAAGTTACAAGTCTGAGCTTCAGTCAACTTCACCAGATGATAGATTGGAGTGCACTCTGCTTCATTTTATCCAAGAAACTTATAGATCCTGCAGTTTGAGGTGTGGGATAATGAGCAAGTAGATAGATTGGCTGCTGCTGCTCCTCTGTGTGATGAAATAGGTTATGATAAAGCGAACATAGTGAAGACTCTATGGGATCAAATAAACAATGCAATAGAACAGACACAGCTTCCATACATACCTGGAGAAACTGATTCAGCAGGAAATGAGCAGAGGATATGGTTTTCAACAAGCAGGAGAGAAGACAGGCAGATTTTTAATTAGGTTGCAAGTGGCAAGAGCATGGGAACTCTGTGTCTGCTGCGGAGGAAGAGGACAGAGCAAATGTGGGAATGCCCCGAGTGTAGCGATGTCAATTCTTTGTTTGGTGAGTCTTCTTCTTCTTTACGTCCTCTTTTACCGCTTTGAGTGTCGAAAGAGATATAAGGTCCTTCTTTGTGCTCTTCTGGCTGTTTCGAACATAGATACATCGTGGTGCTGTAGAGTTTCTCTGATGTTATCTTCCCATCTTGTTCTTGGTCTACCTCTTGCTCTACGCCCCTCTCCTCTTTTGGTATTTGCCTTGTATGGTATATATTCAGAGATTAATTGTACATTTTGCCTCACATCCATTCTTACCTTGAACTGATGAAATTCCTGGTTATAAGCTTGTCTTCAAATGTTAGTGCCAGCAACTTGAATATCCCGAATTAAAATCCATTCCTAAGCGGAATGTCCAGTGCACTCAGGAATCTATGAGAAGAAATTATTACCAGATATTATTTTTAGCAACACTAACTGGAAACTGAAATTAGTTATAGGCTTTATGGCGGTACACAACGGCAGACAGCACCGGCACTCTTTTCACACATAATTTTTGCAGCGATACTATTAAATAACTGTTTTGTGCTGGGTACCGGCACCTTTTTTTAGACAATCATGTTCAACCCTTGGGTTATAAATGGGATAAACAGAGTCTTTGTCCTTTCTGATACTGGATATTTGTTTGTCTAATATTTTGGCGGTTTTATATTGCTTAGATTATGCATTAACTAATTATAAAACATTATAAGAGATCATATATACAGACACATATTAAAAACAAAAAAACACAAGGTGAACATGTCGGTAATATAGTGTTATGCACCAACAAATGATAAGAATGAATCAGTTAAGGAGGAATTTTACATGCAACTTCAAAATATTATTATAAATAATGAAAGAATGGGCAATATAAAAATGTTGATGGATGCCCTAAATGCTATCTAAGATGGATCAGATAACACAGGTTATGAAGAGATTATGGGAACACACGAACAAGGAGATGAATGAAAAATGGAGAATTATTCACTAATTTTTGTGCAGGGGAACCAAAAGGTTATTGGTGGAAGCATTTTCCCCCATGAAAAAATACACAAAGCAACATGGGAACTACCAGACCATAAAACAACTAATCAAACTGATCATATATGTTTTTAACAAAAATTTAGATCATCCTTGAAGGATGGTAGGGCTTTTAAAGGTTCTGATGTATTTATTGATCAGGAAGGGAATTCAGTAGACCCCTACAAAACAGCTTGATGATCTGGACTTTGTGGCTGACATTGCTCTTTTCCAACTCGTGAAATGAAATGCAAGATAAATTAAATAAACTTGATGCGAGATCACATCAACTAGGTCTGAAAATCCATAAAAGAATGACAATCAAAATAAACCAGGCAAAAGGTAATGTGGTTTCTCTTGATGATAAACCAGGCAAAAGGTAATGTGGTTTCTCTTGATGATATCCCAGGCCAAGATGTGGAGGCATACACCTATTTGGGCAGTAATGTAGATAATGGAAGCACTGACAAAGATATTAAAATACCCATACAAAAGGCAAGAGGAGCTTTCATAGAACTTGGAAATGTGTAGAGGTCAACAGGAATTAAAACTAATACTAAGCTTAAAATTTTTAATTCTAATGTCAAATCAGTAATACTGTCTGGAGCAGAAACATGGAGAAGAACTGAAACATTCATTATCTGGTGCCTGTGCGGAATAGTGGGAATTAAATGGTATGATATAATCACCATAGTTGAGCTTTGGGAGAGAACTAAACAAGTTCCAGTGGACCAAGAGGTGAAGAAAAGACGCTGGCACTGGATAGGACACATGTTGAGAAAACCTGAGAACAATATAACTAGAATCTCTTTGCAATGAAACCCACAAGGGCATACAAATAAAGGCAGAACAAAAACAAAACAAAAAACATGGAGAAGGGAGCTAGAGAGTGAAGTTTAAAAAATTGGGGAGGACATGGGGTGAGCTGCATGCAATAGTGAAGGTTATAGAATGACTTGGTTGAGGGCCAATTCTCCATTGGGAAGAAGGCAGAAGAAAAATATATAATAGGTGTAATTTATCAATTAATTATGATAATCACATTTAACTCTTTCAGTACCATAGGACAGTTAGTTATAAATTATAGAGTGATGAGTTCTTTGGTACCCATGAGTTACAAACAGAGATTAAAATCTTGCAGACTATAACTACAAACTGTTGTTCTGGTGTTCCAGTTACATAGGTCACCTCAGTCCTCATATTCACATCCTTCTTCCTCTTCATCGTCTGTCTGAGTGAAATAATTTGGCTGTGCCTATTTACAGCATAGATGCAATATTTGCGCCTATCACATGACACATCCGACTTGGGAGCCGCGTTAGCTCAGTCGATAGGATACTCGTTAGCAAATCCAGCTGCGACTCGCTGCAGCCCAAGGCCAGTATTCGAAACTAGGCGGTTCCAGAGATTCACCAAGCCTCTAGGTAATGGGTACCAGAGTTAACACTCTGGGGTAAATGGAGGGACATCGCCGTAGCTAACGAGTTTCGTGCGGACGGCGACACAGGCGGACAGTTTCTTATCAGCTGTCCGTACTGGTGGCAGAGCACTTATGGTTTTTAACCGTGTGCAGTGACGCTGGTTCACAATTCCCGAATTTACCTTTACCTTTCCTTACATCCAACTTCATTGAGTATTTGTTTACCAAGTTGTCCTGCTTGGTTTCACAAGACACAGAGTAGCCTTATTTGTGTGGCATCCCCTGTGTCGCTTTATCTACAGGTGTTGACCCCTGGAGAACCCAATGAGGGCACTCGTGCGTAGACTGCTCAGCTCTCAAGGGAAGGCAGGGGCAGAACATGGGCATTAGCCTGCCATATAAGCAAGCCTCCATAAATGTAAAGCCGATACATGATGGTCTGGTCCTGGGCTCACCCAAGAAATCGTCATATCCTGCACATGACTACTTAATCTCACATCTATATGTGAAGCTTCCCACTCATTATGAGCTGCACCCTTTGGAATCAACAGGGAGCAGCCCAAGGTCTGGGACTTTGCTCAATGCACAAATGGGCAGTCTTTATCTGCACGTTAGACATCTTCAATGTTGTTCCATCTAGATTCTTAGCATGATAGTATAGGAAAAGCATGCATCAGGCATGGCTTCCTCTATTGGTCCTGACACTCCTATGAGTGGAAACAATGATAAGGGACATTTGAACTTTTCTGTTAAAAATGAGGCCAATTTACAGTTGGAAATCTTAACCTTATCTGTCAATAAGTAAGGCTTTTGATGGTCAGAATTTTGGTTCCAAAACTCAGGCAAGTTGGGTCAATGGTAGCAGACATTTGAACCTTTTCTACCACATTGTAAGACAGTCAATGGTTAGACATCTAAAACAGTGCTATTAT